TATCAACGTCGACGTCAGCGAAAGCCTCTCGCGATAAATCTAAAACCGCGTTTTACGGTGGGATTTTTTCGTTATTTATCTTTCTTCAGACTGTTGCGACTAGAATGAGGATCTTCTAGGGTTTTTTCATGACTAAAATAGTGATTGAATATTTTTATTAAGCGTTGAACAAGATTCGAATTGATCTGAGCTTATCGTTTTTTTAGAAGTGGATTTTTAGGTATATTAAATTTGTGTTAATAGCAATTTTTTAATACTAATGATGTTTAGTACCCCTGTATTAAAGTTTTGTTTCGTTGTTATTTATACTTTTTAAATTTTTTAAAATATGGTGAAAAAGATTTGAAATTTTGGTGGATTTACGAGGTAAGAGTTTTTAATAATAGCCAAAAAATAAACGTTAGTATTTTAAAAAATACTATCTACTATCATAAACGCTTAACTACAGACAAGTCTCGTTCATCGTATGACCAGAAAAATATTAACTCCTCGAAATATAACATTAAAATTTACTTATGAGGAAAACTTTCCGTGGAACTTTAATTTTCCCTCGACCGCATCGTATACCGCTAAATTAAATATTAGTAGCATGATTGAAAATGCTAATGGATGTTATCCGAAATGCGTAACTTGCTTCCGCAACATAACATCATTCCATCGAAATATTTATTACAATCTCTTAACATGGTTTAAGTAGGCACAAGGGTTGGAATATCATGTCGAATATCATGTCGAATATATCATACAGTATGTCCCAAAAAGTGGTATACATCAAAATGTTTAAAAAATTGCCTTCAATGCAGGGAAAACAAAAAAGAATGATTTGGACCGAAGGAAAAATATGCCCAAATCGTAGTGGAGAGCAAAAAAATTATGCATAATTTGTGCATAATTATGAATAATGAACAGTTTGTGCGTATTTATCTCTCGGTTCAAATCATAATTTCGTTCTCCCTGTATTCCTGCATGCAGTTTTTTAAACATTTTGTACCTGCTTATGGATCTACAAGTCATGCAGAAAATTTTATCAAGAATAATTTTTTTGTGAAATGTAAGATAAACTTTTTCCCATTATTGTATACAACTTTTTGTGAAACACTGTATGCCTACAGAAACGAATAATTTGCCATACCTCGCAAGTTGTAATACAATTTTATTATGTTTGTTTTAATGATATAGAACTGATAATTTCGTGAGAAATTGGCGCAGGAATTAGCCAAGAAAATTACGAGTATTATGATTAATGTATCTTTCGCTAAAGTTTGTTAGCTGCCATTTATTTCTCTCATCGGAAATTTTAATTAGATATATTTATAAAACCATTTTTTAAATGGATGATCTTATTCCTTTCTAGAAAAATAATTTCTCGAGAAATTTTAAACACAAATAACTGTCGCTATAAGAATGTATACTAATTATCAATCAAATCAATGTATATGTAGACGAGGAAATAACATCATGTATAAGATAGTGGTATCAGAACAAACGGCAGAGGACACTCAAAATTCAATCATATGAGCGTCGAAAAGATAAATGGATCCTCCGAGACGGCGTTAACGGCACATTTTTTTTACATTTCGCCGCAGAATGGTCAAATTGGGAAATCCTACCGAATATCGATACGACCCTTATCTACAGTTGACCGTCCCAATTATTTTTCGCCAATCCCCTTCAGGTTGGCGATATTTTTTTGATTGAATTTGATATTGAATGTTTTCATCATGATCCTAATAAAAAGGCCGATTCCCTTTTTATTAGATCTGTCTCGGTATTTTCATGCTCAATTGGGAAATTATTTATCTGTATAGAGCATTTACATTACAATCGCAATATTCTCACAAATATCTCCATACTGGTTTACTTTATATCTAACTTAATTGTATACATATACAGAGTCTAGTCTAGTGTTAGCATTAGGGATGTATTATTATTATTAATAATAAATTTCGATTCGTGGATCAATGTATCAATTTATCAAATAACTTTGTTAACTAAAACTGGGCCCTTTAGTATATGTAATTTTCCATTCAACAAACCATAATGCATTTAGGAAGTTATTATTTTATACAGAATTGAATTTCAAAATCTATTGTAAAATAAAAATGCATAATTTAATTTCAACGCACAGCTAGGAACGATAATTTCTTCCGTTTCGAATTCCGACTAATAACGCATCTGGTTGATCCTCCTACCGGATACGCCCGTGGTTCATGCGTGCCTACACCGCGATCTATTAAACAGATAAATCAGCTCCCACAACACAACTGGCACATGTCTGCTTTTGTTTAGCTAAGGGCAAACCTTAGAACTATCGATCTGTAAATGCAAATAAATTGGAAGGTTTTGCGAGCTGGTCATTCGCGGACCAGCAGAATGCTAACTGCAATTATAACCCTTAGCAGGTTATTATACATACATAGGTACATAGGTTATACAGGGTGACCCAGGGTCGCGTTAAAGTCCCATAACTTTTTACCTAATTGAGATATCGACTTGATTTTTTTTTCAAAAGGTAGGTACAATAATACTGCGTATTATTAAAATAGTTTCGTCTATATACAGGGTGGCTTAGTATTAGAAATTCACTAAAGTTACCTTTTTTTTAATGGAACCCCCTGTATATTATAACATTTTTGAATTCTTTAGTGAATTTTAGTGTGACTTTATGTACCATACATTGTACCTAAAACCAATCGTTTAGTGGTAATTCGACATTTTAGAAAAAAGTAGAGGTTTGAAAAAAAATGAATATTGCTGCTTTTGTAAAACTTAGAAGGCCGTGACTCTGGGTTATTAGTAAACATTAAATGTACTACGGTGTGACAGGGATTCAGAATTGAATACTGTTTGTGTTCTTAGATATCGATACGCCAATTTACAAAATTTCAATTAAAGGCAACTTGATTTTTTTAAATGAAACTACCTACTTTTTTGTACACCATCTTGTAGGAAATTTTATTGCTTTTCTAACGATATAATATTGTCAATATTTTTACCTGCTAGTTTTCTCTTAATTCCGGAATTTCTTATAATTCGCGGTAATTTTCAATTTTCAAAGTGGCTCAATATAGTAAATTAAATTAAAATAAAACAAAAATTTTATAAAAGATAGTGAGTTATAAAAAAAGTATACAGATCAATCAATCAACTACAATTTATTTGATTATAGGGAGATAATGATAATGTACAAGGAATAATGTAAAGAACAGTTTTTTTTGATAGCACAATAATTTTTCTTACAGTAGATGCTCAAAGATATTGCTATTATGTTCGATTACGTCTTCTTAAAAACTAATTTTTAAAGCGCGTTAGCATGTTTTAATCAATTGATCGAAAAGCGTCTCTTATCCGGATCTTCACGTCGTTAGCTGTTGTTGGCCTGCCCGTTCCCGCGATTTGACACCAATTGATTTTTTCCTATGGGGATTTGTTAAGGACAATGTCTATAGTGTTAGGCCAACAACAGCTAACTACCGCGAATACTACTAAATTACCGCGAATTATAAGAAATTCCGGAATTAAGAGAAAACTAGCAGGTAAAAATATTGACAATATTATATCGTTAGAAAGGCAATAAAATTTCCTACAAGATGGTGTACAAAAAAGTAGGTAGTTTCATTTAAAAAAATCAAGTTACCTTTAATTGAAATTTTGTAAATTGGCGTATCGATATCTAAGAACACAAACAGTATTCAATTCTGAATCCCTGTCACACAGTAGTACATTTAATGTTTACTAATAACCCAGAGTCACGGCCTTCTAAGTTTTACAAAAGCAGCAATATTCATTTTTTTTCAAACCTCTACTTTTTTCTAAAATGTCGAATTACCACTAAACGATTGGTTTTAGGTACAATGTATGGTACATAAAGTCACACTAAAATTCACTAAAGAATTCAAAAATGTTATAATATACAGGGGGTTCCATTAAAAAAAAGGTAACTTTAGTGAATTTCTAATACTAAGCCACCCTGTATATAGACGAAACTATTTTAATAATACGCAGTATTATTGTACCTACCTTTTGAAAAAAAAATCAAGTCGATATCTCAATTAGGTAAAAAGTTATGGGACTTTAACGCGACCCTGGGTCACCCTGTATATAGATATAACTGCATGATAATGGTATAAAATTGTTATGTTAAGTTAACAGTTTGAAAATAATGAAAATGATACATTGACTGATACAACAAGAAGGATAAATACACTCCATCAAATTTAGCTAAAGTTACGAGTAGGTATTATAATTGGCTGGATTATGGTGAAGACTCTGTGATGGTGAAGAGCTTTGTGAAACTCGGTGCATTATTAATTCATCGCTATTAATTGAATCTAAAGTTTAAATTTGATGGCTACTGCTAACTGAGTAGGTACTATTTTAAAGGGATTGATTCCTTCAAAAAAAAGTTGGCCTAAATAAAATCCAAAATAAAATTTATACGAAAGGTTATACGAGGAAGAAAGGTATACGATAGACCTCCTACAGGAATTTCACTGGGACGTGTGTTTGACCATCTTCCGTATAGCCCCGACCTAGCTCCTTGCACCTTTCATCTCTTCTTTCATTTGAAATTATCCCTTGGTGGCCAAAACTTCAACATGAGCTGAAAGAACACGTTACCATAATTATGGTTAAATAAACAGGCGACAACCTTCCATGAGGAGGATAAATATACCTATGTAGCAGGACCTATGGAGCTATGGAGGACCTATGTAGAAATGTAGCTTAAGAATCGTAGAATACTGTATATCAAGCAGCAAAAATTAGAGAAAAGTTTCTTGATAAAATGCAGTGTTATTTTGAAATAAATACTCATACTACATAGGGCAAGATTGTACAAAAAGAAATGTATGAAACGATACATGATTTTTATAATAATTAATATTTAATAAAACCCGCAGGATACGCCGCTGGTCGGGTCGGTAGTCTCTTAGACGCCGCGCTGTTCGACCAACAGCCATCGCGCATCGAGTTAAATATAAACTTGATTGACACTGCGGGGCCAATCGTAGCGTGAAGACAACAACACAGTGCCATTCCCTTTAGTGATGTAGAAGTGATAGTAGGTGCAAACAACCATGGAGAATCCGCAAACAACCGATTCGACGGCTCAAAATCAGCCGCTAAACAACGCCGAAGACGGCAACGCCGCCGCGATATCTCGCAATGCGAGGATCACCAAAATTAAGCAGAAGTTTCTGCGTAAGTATTAAATTTAATATTGTTTATGTTCGTTCTTCTGCTAATGAATTTCTAATTTCTATGGGTTTTACTTGCGCGCTTCAATGTTTGCTTTCGTGCCGGGTTGATTAAAATGAAGCCTAACACAATTTTTTTTCTAAATATACATAAACTGGTTAATTAAGCGATAGATTCTGTATAAATGTAAACTAATTTATTATGTTCTGCTTCAATGAGAGCCACTTTTATTACGTTCTCTCAGCTGAGTACTATTATTATCATTCGAGCAAATCTATTTGAATCTGTGGCTTCATCTTGGTAATAATTCATTAATGATTTTTTTCTTATACGAAAAGTAGAGCTCTCTATGTTTTCTATTATTAGATTTTTTCCGCAATGAAATCGGAAATCTCGCCTTTATATTTTATTTTCCCATTTCCTATTCACACAAACAAAATGACTTTTTCTATGAAAATTTGTATGACAAACCTTACAAAATTGTAATAAATTCAATTTATATTTGGTTTCTATATTTGTCATGAATAATTACCTTATTTTAAATATGCATATTAACGTCGCTATGGGAATTGTTTAAACAATACTCGAATAAAAACTGAAAATTGTCAGATAATAATGAAGTTACGCATCATTTAAATACAAATTAATTACTCCGCTACAATGCTATTTTGTATTTATGTTACGTATCTGTTAATAAATAAAATTAATCACAATTAGAACTTATTAAAATAAATAGTATACGAGTTTATTTATTAATAAATTCTGTTCTCATAATTTGTTTCAAATATTAAGTAATTTTAATTCAGGATAGACATAATATGTAGGCAGTACCTATAGTTAATATTAAACAAGGTCAAGTATTATATTTGTAAGTAAAGTGAATAGTAACTAGAAAACAATTACATAGCAAAAAACTGTAAAAATAAAAGTTATGCATTTTAAAAATTGACAAACTTTAACTATGAAGTATGTTGTTAATACTTAGCTAGAGTAAGGTTATAATTACTAATTTTTTCAAATAAACGGAAGAACTTACTATTTTCCTCGATAGTTATAGTTTAAAATTATGTTTTTTCTAAATAGGTCGCCCTACTTATAAAAACCTTAAAACTTTCCTATAATCCTAGTCTAGACAATCGCACTTTTTTTTTATTTTAGATAGCAGTGTTTGCCAAACTGAAAATCAATATAAACAGAATTTTACATTTTCTCATCTTATCTTTTCTATTTCAATGCAGCGATATACATATAGGGTGTCCAAAGTAATGGAAACGGTCGATTTTCTGGAAAGTTAAAGTCGTAATGAAAAATTTGAAAAAAAAGGTATCCAATAATTTTTTAAGTGCTATCCATTGATATCCATCCACATAAAATAGTTACCCTACCCCTTAAGGGGGGATCGGGTAGGTTACTTTAAAAATTTAAATAGAAACCCCTATTTTTTATTGAAGATTCGGAATTCTGGCAGCAAAATAAGCAAGTTTTGTCTGAAACATTCTTCGAAATTATGCTTTAGGGATGGGGTAGCGGATCAATATTGGTATCAATGGATAGCCCTTAAAAAATTATTGGATACGTAACGTTTTTAATTTTTCATTTGGACCTTCATTTGTCAGAAAATTGATCAGAGTTTCCATACTTTAATATTAATTTGTACCTATACATTAATTTATACATTTAATTCATTTATTTTATTTAGGTATATCAAATAACATTTTTTTGACAATATATTAATACGTATCCATTCCGTATCTCAATTTAACTATGAATTCATCAATTAAAAACATAAAATTTATTAAGCATTATTAGAATGAAACTATTGATTGAAATGCATGAATTCCCTATAGATTCCTCAATGTTTATTACTGACTTATTCTGCAATGGAATGTGTATCTACGTGCCCTATCTCTAAACTCATATTTCCCTTTTTACGATAAAACTACTCTTATCTAAATAAAACGAACCGGTAATTCACTTTATATTTATTATTAATACAACGAAACTCAGAGAAATAGAAATATGTATAAATATGTAGTATCTGCTCAAGAGCACAATCTCCTTCAAGTATTTACTTTTGTAACACTTCCATTCGCATCGTTGAATACAGGGTGTCCAAACAGAAGATAAAAATCCTGTATAAATATATTCTCAAAATGGACTAATTAATTCCCTGTTAAAAAACTTTACAGATAAAAGCTTTAAAAACCAGCTAGAATAAGCCGATTTAGTACACGTAATTACCTGCACACAACATATTCTTCGACCTAAACATACAATTATCAACCATCAACAAAACAGCGCACAGATACAAATCATAATTACAAATTCCTTTCAAACGGACCCAATCTAACATTCTCCGTTTGGCATATCCTATCCGTTGTACTGTTATTAACTTCCGTTTTTTGTAACGTTTATTAAAGGGCTTAGAATATGTGGCACATTCGACATACAATGAAATATGCTTTATAGTCTCTGCTGCAAAATATGCAAATAACATTGTTAACCGGTCTCGCTCCGCGTAACACTATGGAGCGTATATCTATGTTTAAAAAAAATTGAATTGTCAATAAAGATAAGCCTTTCAAACATAAATAAATATTGTTAATACTGGAGCATTGTGTGCGAATATGTTCAGATAAAAACGGCTTGTTGGCGACGAGTAATAGCGTTTTGAAGTAGATTAAAAGCTTATCTGTAACACGAATTACATTGTAAACAGTGCATATTTACTTCCAGAAGAATGTGTCTAAATGAAGGTTATATTTAGCAAATTTTCTTCAATCAGCTGATGTTGGTCGTAATTGAAGAAACGATATTGCTCTTATACTGTTTGGTAAACCTATAGGATACTGGATACTATTACCTCGGGCGATTTTAATGTTATTGGGCAAAGGTAACCTAGCCTAGTTTCTGCAATATGAATAAATTTGTCTCTAAAGTAAACACTACAAATCCACACTGATACAGCTTCGATATTTCAATCAATCCAGGATTTTAGGACTTACATAGAGATTTACAATGTAGGTAAAAGGTCAAAGACCAGCGCTGGATTATATGCACATGCACCACAAGAGAAAATGCAATCAAATTCGAGATTTAACATCCGAACGTTATGCATTTTGGCGAATGCAAATATGCGATTGAATGAAGGTTCGTTTGCTTCCGCATTCCTCCAGGTAATTAAACGACCGCCGTGGCATTTTAATTTTTCGTGCGCGTCATCGCGAAAAACGTCTGCCCGGGCGCGTTCTGGTCGCTTATTTAGACGTAAGTCGAAATTAGATCATTATTTAACTATGCTCAATTATTCTTGTTGTTGATCTCTAGCCCTTGCGGTCATTCTGCCCACATAACAACACACACGTAAATACAATTTAAATTGACGAGTCAGATCGACTTCATTATTGTAATTATACGGGTAATTTTATAGACCACTAAGTGCATACTTTCACTGCGTGAAGAATGTCTTGAGCTTGATGAATCGATTTAATGGTATTTTGTTTTCAGATGGGTTAAATGGTTAACTCAAATTAAAAATCTTCTTCTTCGAAGTGTTATAGATTGTTTAAAAGATTCATATGATGCAGGTATTTCAATAAAGAAACTATTTAAAATTGATTATAATTGACAAGCTATTGGAATAAATTATAATTGCACCTACTAAAATCAAGGAAACCTATAATACGCCTTGATTTAAGAGATAAAAGAGGCTCTTTAAGATGATTAATGAAACATTATAACGAAATATCTCTATGCGCTTTTGCAGTTTATGCATTCTCTCTGCACTTTATTTATTCGGAAATTCATCATGCGAAATGCACGAGGGATGTATCTAATGTAGGCGATAAAAAATTAACAACTGAATACAATTCGATATAAAATATACAGGCACAAATAATTTTAACATTTTAACAATAAACATTTTAATGTAGTATAATATACCAGTACATACATTGTTAAATAAAATAATAATATTGAGTGTACGGTATACCTATAATAAATCAGAAATTAAACCTTTTTAGGATAATTGGAAAATATTAAAAATGTACGTAAATAAAGAATACTACGAATTTTAGTATAAAAAACTGTAGGTTTAATATTTGCAAGTATGTGTATGAAATTTAATGTGTGCAGGTATAAAGTAATTCCCACGAATTTATAGCGCTTGCAAAAATGCAGATTTATGAAATTAAAACTTTTCTAACTGTTTCTTTTTTATATTTGTTTCAGCTGGATTTCGAATAACTCTTTTGCTTTCATTGGCCATTTACATTGCTATGCTGGTTATTGGAATTCTCGGAGTTCATAAATGTCCAGTGGAAGAAAATATTCCTCTCTTTTTGATTGCCACTGGTAAGAACATTTTATTAAAAAATAATAATAATCACAATAAAATTATTAAGTAACCCATTAAGAAAAGATAGAGGCGCAAAAATTAACCGAACCACTTAACAAATCCCTGTTTTCCTTTAAAAAAAACCGAGTAAAATAGGTGGAAAAGATACAAAATCGTGACCGGAATAATTTAAAAGCTGCGACTTGACACATACCTAGCGACGCAAGTGGAATTCAAAAATGTGAAATATGAAATATAAATAAAACTTCTCGACCACTATAGGCGTAAAACCCGAATGAAACCACAGGGACTGGTGAATACTCACTGCTGGCGACGGAATACTCCGAAAGAAAAATACAGTGTATTTCAAAAGGGTTGTTATTGAATGGGATAAGACGCTATTCAACATTTATTTCGTTTCTTAGTCTTAACGGTCGTCCAATTCACGCATGTTAGGAGAATTTTAAATACATATAAGAGAAAGAGTCACTCACATAAAATTGGTTGTATTTTATGAATGAATAAATGTTGTTATATACATCACTCAAGTACTACTAATAGAGTAAATTTTGTATATTTTTAGGGGCCATTGGATTAATAACCAAAATATTAACCTACGCGAGAGAAAGACTACTCAGGCATTTTCAAGTTAAATTTGTGGAATCCAGTTTGTACACCGTAGAAATCGTCTTCCTTATATTAGGTACGTATTTGCAGAAATAAATATTATAGTCAGGCTATTTACTTCCTACTACCGCATTCCTGTACTGCATTAAAAAAAATTTCAGTACAAGCACAAATGCATGTTGTATGTATAAAGTATAAAATATTCAATTTTGGATGTACTCAACTTTTTTCAGGAGTCACTAATTTATCTATATACATATTTTTTACAAATTAATTATCTAAATACTTTGTATATAATGTAATATTTTGTATATAATTTATGAAGTTAATAGGGTCTAAGTTAGTTTAAAATATCAATATAATACATTTTGTAGTTGCTTACATTAATCATAAGATAAGACCTATCTGCTATCGCAATTAACCTGTTACGATAAAATTGAAACCTATATGTTGCATGCAGTTACATAACTTGCACTTAATTTACCTATCATCACGAGAATACTCACGAGTTGCTATTATTGATATATTCCTATTTTAAGTTCGTTCTAAACATTAAATGAGATGAATAACTTTGGCGTAAGTTTCCTATAATCCACCAATAAAATTACCCTCTGTACATTTTTCTTTTATATGATATCCCAATGCAAAATCATATGTATATAGCACACTAATATTTTGGATAACCAGTTATTCTATTTTTTGCATCCATCTACAGTTCCAGCACGTTTTCCCTATAGCACTTGTAGTGTTTGCTATAGACTGTTGGACTTAATCGAAGTTTTTGTCTTCCAGGGGCGTATTGGGTATATAAGGAGTACCCCCCTAACTACGATCCAGGCGTAACATTTTATTGTCAAAAGACTGCTTATTTATTCGCTTTCGTATACATTACTGTTGTACTAGTTATCATAGGTTTGGGCGTTTTGGCAGGCTTAATTTGTGTAATGTGTTGTGCTATTTGTGTAGCCTCGCTTTCGTCTTGCTTATTAAACTGCGATATCGAAGGACAGAAAAACGAGGATAACGAGAAAGACGGAGATGATGAGCAGGAGGAAAAAGCTTTAAAGGATGACGATAAAGATAAGGAGAAGGAGAAAGAGGGAACAAGCAATGATTGAATATTTTTTATTTTTTTATAATGTACTTTAAGTTTTTATACCAAAGTATTAAGAGTCTGTCTACGTAGTTTTGATATTGACAATTTTATTAGCACCAATCGGAATTACCATACACGTAATAATTTTTTAATAAAATAGTTTGACATGGACGTTTTTTATTTCGAATTTATCAGTTCATTTATGAAAATTGGATATAAAAGTAAATCGTTTAAAAATAAGTTTTGTATATCTTCGATATTCGGTATCGTTTACAATTTTGTAAAAGAATAAATAAGACATACAGGTAGACACAAAATTATTAGCAATATAGGCTGTGGATGCAACAAAGACAACTCCCATTAGTGTCATATAAAGGAAAAAGAACGACTGAAATTGTGGAAATGCTTGGAAATGCTGGAAAGAACTTTCCTACTCAAACCACTGTTATTTTAACAATACCTACCCTATAAATTTCCAATTTACTTTTAATGTAAACAATTCCTCTACAAAAAATAAATTATAAAAGTATAAATTTAACGTAATAAGTATAAATTTCGAAAACCAGAAAAGATAGCAAAGATTTTTAACAAGGCCTTTTTGTCGATTTCTCATATTCTACCCTGTACCTCTGTAACCATATAATGTTATCCATAACTCACCATTGAGTATAATTAGTATAGTAGGTACCTGTATCATTATTATCTGTGTTACATATTCCCTCTATGAACCCTTACACATAGCCACTGTTATGTATAATTAACATTTTTAGATTTACTGGTCTTTAACATGAAACATTAATCAGTTATCAGGAGTCACTTACCTAATGAATTCGCCATGATTAATTTGTATTAAAATAATGTATTAACTCGCTTTGTAAGAACTATATACTAACGGACTTTGTCATAGCTGCTTAATTAGATATCCTTGCATAACAAAATTCTGCAATTAATATACGTATACAAATTTTAGCCAAGAAAAAATTATCCCCAAATATTAACAGCAACGGTACATTTTACCAAACAAGTAAAGTAAGTGTATGTAAATACATTGTAATAAATGACCTAAGAACGAACAGCAATTATCTAAGAATTTGTATTTTGTCACGAATAACAGCAAAATTATTCTTTAACAGAAACCTTAAAATGATGTATTGATTTGATTGAATTAGAACGCTTGATGTTAAAATCTTGCACTGTTATTCTATTAGCAAAAAAATATTGGGAACATTCTACATAAGTATAATTTGTTCTTTTTTTCCTTTCCCAGGTCTTTATTGGGTGTACAAGGAGTACCCGCCACACTACCAACCCACCCACCACGGTGACGATAAATGGTGCCAGAAGACTGCTTATAAATTCGCGTTTGTCTATGTCACGGTGTTATTGGCTTTGTTTTTGGCCATTTTATCCGGATTCATGTGCTTCCTCCTTTGCGTTTGCTTACTGGCCAAAGGAGCTGCAACAACGTCCGATGTGGAGGCGCAGCCGCAAACTGAAGGAAACAAGACCGCGGTCTGAGATTTGTACGGAATGAAAATGTTAAATAAAGGCGATGATGATATTGCCGTTTCTGCTATCTTGTTCAATATGAGGAATATTTACCGTCCGCGTTATTCCATAAATATTCTGCTTTGACTGTGAAGATTACATTTAAGTCTTTTAATTTATGTTTGTTGTGCTTATGTTCGGTTGTTTTTTTAATCACCATTTACTTGTTGATTATTGTAAGACGAATGACGAGTAGGGCACTATTAATAGTATTCATTATGTAGTTTACTCGAAGAACAATGTTCAACTTGGTGATATGACTAATGATACTATACTATTACTTATTTTTGGACTGCTTTATTAAAATTTACATTTTTTACACTAGTCTACTCTATTGTGCTGTTAATTGGAAATAAAGTGCAAATAGGAAAATGACGTATTCTTTGCATCATGTGCGTATTTTGATAAGTAATCAAATAAAAAAATTCATACATACCCCACTTGAACACTGATAGCTCCCTGAATAAAATCGATAGAACTAACAAACCCGGATACTGAGGATTCCAGAGCGTTACACTCACATTTTTACTTCAAAACTAAAAAAATGATGATGAAAACTCATTATTACGAACAGCATTACATCAAAACCATGGATCTATAATCATAAATATATTTTCACATATTCGTAAATAAACATGTTCTAAACCAATCTACCCAAATCACATATTGTCTGTATGACAATACGCTATTTTTAGTAGGTAAGCTGGAAGTAGAGCATTTTTTATACATATAGGCTAGAATAACACTGAGTTATTTTAAAGCTAACCGTGAAAACCGCATCTCATTACCTAGAATCATTTGGAAAAGACACAAGCAACAACTCGAAATTATGCTTTGAAATACCACAATAAAACCTAAAGTGCTATAGTCGACCGATGTTGTAATTAATGATTCAGAAATGTAGATAGCATGCAAACCTGTACTGTGGTTTTTACCGAACTACGATTTGATGGAAACATAGTTATCAGCAAGTACCCAGTAAGCGTTTACAAAAAATATGAAATTCACTTCAGAAGTGATGTAGGGAATGTAGAGAATTTGTATCAAATCGTCAATCGGACACCTACGATCTGCGAAGAAAATACGCTAGACCGATGATATCTAATTGAATATTTGACACACTGTACCATGTAGTGGCGCTTGTAATTAAATTCTCAGCCCATTATGGCCGTATTATACGAACAATAAAAACGTATATACGAAAATAACAGGTAAAAAACTTAAATCTTTGAAAGAATCTCTGTTGCGAAGAATGATGCAAGGTGCTTAGGTTTCCTTTTATTGTAAAACCTACTCGGTGTTGGTCTTTAAACACAACAACATCGAGACAGGTTTAACAAAAAAAAATGTAGCCTGGATGAATTCAACAGTATACAATAAACTGTAGTGTTGATATTATACAAACTCACCGCGGTAGGAGTCGTACTACGATAAATGAGACGTAGAAACGACCAATACCCGGTAAATCAGCATATACTAGTGTAGAGTTTTAGTTTTGGTTTTGGTCAGAAAGAACAAGGTAGTAGACAAATGAAATGTGTTAGTTACAATGACTTGTTAGTTAACAAATGCCAGTTGTTTAGTTGTCAGTCTCACTCTCATCTAATTGTATAATTTATCGTTCGTTAATAATAATATTAGTTATACCACATTGAATATTTGTTTGTTGGAGCATTCCACTATTAAAACCTCATAGTAAATATTGGTTTGTATACATTGATGTGTGTGACCATACTCATGGGATAGGAAACTAACTCTTCTTTTGAGTTATGAATAATAGTTATGGACACAACTTCCTTCTGAAAGGAGAGGTATGTCTACCACCAGTGCTTGGACAATTGTATTTCCATTCAGGGCAACATATTAATGTTGCAAATGTTGAATGCCGAATGTCGACCCTACTCTGTTGAATATCTGGAAGCCACACATCGTTGCTAGTGCCTAGCGAAAATTATCGCTCATTCCAGCTTTATGTAGGTAAGACGTAACACTAAACCTGGCGAAGCAATAAATTTCAGTAAGCTGTTCGCAGCAGTAACAATGTCAGTACTTTCTTGGTTTGAATGCTTCTTGAATGTTTCTTGTTTTGAAGAATAAGATCTGACCCTGATTGTTATATAGGGAACGTCGACTTTAGGCGATTCTTCTTTGGGATAACATTCACCCAGTGATGTTCAAATAAAACATCCAACTAAGGAATGTCATCCAGAGAAGAATAGTAGCTACTTGCAGAATTTACTTTTCTTATGATTGCTTTTGATTGGTCTATGAAGGCATCCTTAAAATTTAGGACGGGGCGGATCTGTAACACTTCTAGGGGAGCCAGGCGATTACTATGTATTCCATCAACATATGAACCACCAGCCCACCTGAAAGTAATTACAATTACCATTGTCCTAGCATTCGTCATGAAAACTTTCTCTGAAAACTTGGAATGCCGTACGTTTGCCGCTAGTATTGCTCGTCTCACGATCATATGAAACGGTAAGACGACTAATACCCGCGGCAAATGCTTGGAACGGAGTAATTGTTTTGCTGACCCCGAAGTAATACTAGATGCAAAACGTTCACTGTCGTAAGGATCGTACTACGATATAAATAAGACGTAGATACAACCCATACCCAGTAAATGAATACATATGAATGTTTCTCTTCTATTCACCGTTTATGTTTCACTCATTCATGTTTCTATTCACCTACTTCACCCTATCCTCATCATTTCACCGCTGTTGCGTTGGATAATTAAGAGCTTCACCCGTTACTAGCCGTACTACGGGTATTGAGAATACGTATGTACAGGTAATAGCAGGTGAAATTCATAATCATTGTCCAGAACTTATTGTTGAATTCTTGAACCGAAATTGGTCACTTCAACCAGCTTTATGTGTATTAAATATAACATCAAAGCTAGTCAAGCGACGAGTCTCAGTGCAACATCCCCAAAGAGGAACTCCATCCAATAGGCATTTGTGATGTACTACTACAGAAATGTTTACGATGGGATTGTAGCGGGAGCTTCACCTTTTTTGGATAACAATCACCCAGTGATGTTATAAATATCATCAGCCTGGGCGAGTGTTGATCCGGAAAAAGAAATGCCAGGTTTCTGCAGATATAATGTAACGCATTTGCCGCGGTAGACGCCGTACTACGACTTGGAAAACGTATGTACGACCCATACCAGGCAAATGATTTACAATCTCTTTTGCTGAAAATAATGAAGATGAACTGTCGATTTTGTAACTACTAACGCGATAGGCGAATGTAAACAATGGTTAATGAACACGGTCTACATGGGCCCACCTCATAGTAAATTACGTTTCATGTATAGAAACCAAAATCAAAGGTATAAGAAAAATAATTTTAAAAGTTGAAAAATATGAACAAATAGATGAACTTACCAAAGCTGCTATATTAGATGTTTGTTCGGTCTAAACTGGACTGCAACTGAAGAAATCCAACAAAATGAGCCCTTTAAATACTATTTTCATCCCGGCCTGATTGGAATTATCCAGTCCAATGTCAATCAAAAATCAATTACCGGATTAGAGGTACCTGCTCTTCATTACCTGACCAATGGCAAAGGACCAATATCAAACTTTTATCAATCTAGGAGGGCAGACTAATTTCTAGCCAGGTAATTAGGAATAATGCCTCTTGGATTATGATGTTTTGAAAATGGTAGCACAGAGTCCTATGGATATTACCAATTTTTTAAAAGTAGATCTCATAGTTACAAGTTTCTAAATATGGTAGATACCTATTTTTTATTACACTTAAACGAAAGCTCTGTACTTTAAATTGAAACATGAAAATAAAAAACTACCATAGACAAAGACTTTCATCCACTTTTTAATATGATTTTTAACTTGTTTGTATATAACTTTATAATTTTATTTTATGTTATGTTATGTATACATATACTAAATGAAACAAACCTATAGGATCGAATGTATCCAATAACTTACTTATGTGATGTTTTTGATTATGATTATGAGATTTTTATAATGCATTTGAAGATACATGCGTTTTTACATGTTATCTTCTGAATTTTTATGTTTTAAGTTATTTTATTGTTTCATTATGTTGTTGATTTTATGAAATATTAAATATTTAATGCTAATATTTTCATAATGCTAAAGTTTTCATTTATTTATTTTTAAGGATTCTAAAAGGTATTTAGTGATTTTAGAACATTTTATATACTTTTTTTCATACTTTCTCATACTCCAAATACTTTACCATAGTCTTTTATCTTCGTTTATTATAGTTATCATCGTTTTGTATCTACTTCAACTATTGAGCTAAGATGATTGTTCATCTTATGTTATTATTTTGCAAGAATTAAGTAAGAATTAAGCAAGTATTAAGTAAGATATATAAATACAAATCAATAGAGACTATTATTCTATAAATTTTAAATCTAATACTATTGTCCGTATGTACATCGGACCATTTCCGACTTTATGCATGAACCCTCAGCTCAGAAGATATGCTGTTGGCGTATGCTATATGTTTTTTACGTATGATTTTCGAAGTTTTCCTAAAGTAAAAATGTTATTATTTTAAATGTACCGACTTGTGTAGATGATTGATGATTGATCCTAAACTATGTAGATTTTTTGTTAATTTTATATTTTTTTAGATTAGATACAAGTTTAGAGTTCTATGTGGTCCAATTAAGATACCGATTGCATTAATTGCTCCAATGAACAACCTTAAATTATTAGCTATTTTTTACTAGTACTCTGGAGTACCAACAATATTAGTTTAAAATATTTAGCTATTAAATTAAGCTATATTGTGTCATGGGTCATTTTTATAGCTATAAAGATTATGATATTGGTATGCCATTTTGTATAATATATTATCAAATTTTGTAAAGAGAAATATTTCAACCAAAGGAAATATTAACTTATCGGTTAAAATGAAGAAAAGAAATCCATATTACCTAATTAATTCATAGAAGATATTCTCTTTGAGATTAAAGGAATGAATATTTTCATAAAATGTAATTAAGGTATTACCAGCTTAGGAGGTTTGGGGTAATTCCCATTTGATTCTTTCCTTCTTAAGTTTCAAAAGCTCAAAATTATGAGATACCAAACCCAAACTAGTATCAGAAAGTAAATTTGTAAATTTAATATTTAGTAGGTTTTATTTTTCATGTTTGGATACATTTTTTGGATACATTATATTTTTTAAATTGCCCTCTACAAAACATCTACCCAATCAAACATTTGTTTGTACACATATATTCATCATTCATCTCGATCCAATTCTTCAATTATTTCTCGCGGGCAAATATCGCCTTGCGTTTACGCGAATCAAGTTTCTACTCGATTACACCGCCGATACATCACGCGCTCCATTTCATTCGCAAAATTCCGAAATTAATTACGCTTGTATTTTAGGTCGGAAATGCACAAAGTGACCAACAGTACAAAAACTCATCTAACGTTATGTAACTCGTGCAACAGCTTTCTTATTGTTCGCTTGCATTGCATTCCCCTTCAATTAATTGACAATTAATTTTCGCCAATAATTTTTAGCAATTGCTAAAAATATCCTGCAATTCCCAGTGGCGTAGGTCCATGAAATTATCATCAAATATACCGTATTATATGCTCTATATACGTCAAATAAGCAATGTAGGAGAAGAATAATATAGTTGTTGTATTTTCTATATTTAAATTTGAAGCACGGCTGTGATGGCAGCGCGGATTTCTGGCAAATTTACAAAATTATAATGGTTATTTTCGGTTTCGAATGAGCGAATATTGTACGCGTTCGCGGCGTAAATATTCGTTATTTTCGCCGAAATGTGAGAGTGATGCCCGCCGAAAACGATGTCGAAGGGTGCAAATCGACGGCGACGACGTCCGCCGCGACGCCGAGGCCCGACGCCGAAAAGGGCGAGAACATAAAGAGCCTGGAGGGCGAGGGCGACGTCGACGAGCCGCTGGAGAAGGCCAAAGAGAAGCCGCCGCGTATGTTTTATTTTGATGTAAATTTTTATTATTTTTTCACGAGTTTGGTTGATTTTATAATAATTTTGAAATGCTCATCCGTGAGCTTTTTTATGATATTAGTAGATTTTTTCATGCATTTTTGTAAGTATCATTCGGCCTTTTTGAAGGTATTTTGTTAGATGATTTTCATATTAGATGTTTTGTTATTTTTTTAAGAATTTTTAGAATAGTCCTTACAACATCATACTTTTTAACGTAGTTTTTAATATCTTTTGGATTTTTAGCCGGTATAAATGCTTCCCTTGTATTACTTTACGCAGTTTTCTTCACAATGTTCACAACCGGTTGGGTTAACTTAAACAGCTGCCCTTTGAACAGGCTTATTCCGATTTATCTAATCGTGGCTGGTAATAAAACTGTTCTATGTTTGATAATTATTTAATGTGCAATTCTCTTAGGTTTTGTAGGTGCCCTTGCAAAATTTCTAAGCAAATTAGAAAACAGAATCGCCTTCAACATTTCCATGGCTTTGGTGATTTTCCATATAGCTTGGCACATATTAGGTAAGATTTTCTCGCATCCCTTAAAAGTATTCAAGAAAGGCCTTATGTAAGCACAGGATTGCAAAATGGCTATGAATATGATTTTTTTTGTATATTGTTTAGAAGAAAATGGTCAAAGCAAATTTTCCTGCTTTTCTTTATATATTATTTTTTCTTTCAGGGACGTACGTTGTGTATAAAGAATACCAACCCAATTACGAGTCTACCCAAGGGGTCTATTGCAATAGGACTGCTTATTTGCTCTCCTTCTGGATATTAACTGTCCAGTATACAATACTGGGATTGTTTATAATGTGTTCTCTGTGCTACTTACTGATGAGAGGAGATTTCAAAAATAATCGAATAAAAGATTTGGACAATTTAGATTGATACGATATTTAAATTAGAACAATAACAGTTATTAAAGTATATTGTATTTTTAATGTGTATCTATTATTGTTTTAATTATACATATTTATTTTTAGTAACTTGCATGTTTATTTTACTTTTAAAACGTACAATCAAAAATCCTAATTGTGTTGAAGTCATCTAAATCTGCATGTAATGCCCCATGTATTTAATACCTCTGATAAAAAATTTACAAACGGCTGTTTAGAATTTCAAATTCTACATGTTGTAAGAAAAAACAATTTTAAATTACCTAAAATTTACTCTACTGTTAATAATTTAGTTGATTTTATTAGTTCATCTGCATCGGAAAAGACAGGTAAACCAGGGAGTACCCTCGATAATCCGGGACCAGCCTAATTATAAGGTAATTAGGGAAGATCTTTCAAAAGACGGATTAATGGTATTTGATTTCTGTTTATGAATGGGTAGGGACTTACATTAGGTAGGTTTAATATAGGTAGTATTATATTAGAAATTTATTTTTTGGAAAAATTATATTATCTACAGGTATCTCTAGCTATCTATAGCTCAACATTTTATTTTTTTTAAATGATGCAAAAGTGTGTTTCCGGCTTTACAATTTTTATAATATTTTTATTAGATCTAAATAAGGCTTTAAGAAATTTATTCATATTCTGTAGAGTATACAAAAATTTTAATCTACAATTTCGATTTTATCGATTGTCATTGTTTGGTATTGGTTTTTTTAAACTTTTTTGAAAATCCACTAACTTTAAATACCAGCAATTTGATTTACTCTTTCTCTTTTAATTTCAACCTGTTAAACTGTAAGTATCCAACGACATTTATGGTACATACATATTTGTAGAATATTACTAAATTTGGATAAACATTTTATTATGTCTTGTAAAAATTAATGAAAACATAAACTCAGCTTATTTTTTCAAAATTTTATTTGTTTAATTTACGGTAGATTATGAATATTTCTATATACTTGAAATACCAGCGATTTGATTTGCTCTTTCTCATTTGATTTTAACCTGTTAAACTGTAAGTATTCCAAATTTCCATAATTTGATTTATTTAATTCACAGTAGATTATGAATATTTCTAATAAATTTATTAATACGATTTTTAATAAACCGTTATCATTTTAATTTGTATCAAAATTATTATTGAATCATAATTTAAAAATTTTTCAATTTGCATTTTTAATAAAGTTATTGGATATTATTAAATTATTTAGGAATTATAAATATCGATTGAATAATTAAAATGTGTACTAATTTGCATAATTTTCCAATAAAATATTACCTAGAACCGACATGAAGCAATGATACTATAATTAATAGCTTATTTGACTAGGCGTATTTGACTCAGCACTTTTTGCTTATACAGACAAAATACCACGCGATGATGACTTCCCAAGTGCTAGTGACTCTGTTACTGGCGCTACTTTCCCACGGGACTCGAGCTGGGTTCCTAGATCTGCCCAGCGATCCTCTCGAAACGATAAAAAGTACAATCGACAGCGCTAAAACCGGAGCCGAAGGCATCATCGGAACCGTCCCGGAACTCATCACCGACTCCTTAGGGAACGTGCTCGATATCAACAACGTACCCGTCGTCGCCAGGGTACCCACCCCCGATCTGATAGCGCAGAATGGCTACCCCGTAGAGAGCCACTATGTTACCACCGACGACGGGTACATCCTCAACATACACAGAATCCCCAAGAGCAAAAACGGCGTTTCCAACGGGAAAGTCGTCTACATCCAGCACGGCTTGATGTGCTCGTCTGTGGATTTCGTTCTATTCGGACCTAAACATGGTGAGTGTAATTCCCGTTTAGGAAATGGGCGATATTAACTTTCGGTTATTAATTGTTTTTTGTTTCCAGGACTGGCGTACTTGCTATCAGACGCTGGTTACGACGTGTGGTTGGGCAACGTCAGAGGTAACACCTACTCGAGGAACCACACTAGATTCTCCGCGGACGACGAGGAATTTTGGCAGTTCAGTTGGCACGAAATCGGCAAATACGACATACCAGCCATCATTGACTACGTTCTCCTTAAAACCCAGAAGGAGCAGCTCTTCCACATCGGGCACTCTCAAGGTAAACTAACTATTAAATTAGAGTACCGGGTGATGAAAAATTGATGTTAATTTGCTTTTAGGAACAACAACATTCTACGTGATGCTGTCCGAGAAGCCTAAATACAACGATAAAGTCGAAGCGCACATCAGCTTGGCTCCGATTGCCTTCATGGGCCACTTGTTCAGTCCTTTGATCAGGTTCGTGGCTTTGGGAACGGAGCCATTGAGCCAGCTGCTCAATATGATGGGTGAATACGAGTTCTTGCCCAACTCAAGTTTTTTCACCTTCCTAAAGGAGGCTACCTGCTTTCGGGGAATTGGGAAGGTAAGTAAATGCTGAATGTGTTAACTTTAATATTTAATGAATTATTTTTATTCAGGTCCTCTGCAAAAACGCCTTGTTCGCCATAGCCGGCTTCAGTCCTAATCAGTTGAACGTTTCCAACGTGCCTGTAGTGGTGGCTAATTATCCAGCTGGTGCATCAACTAGGCAAATCGTGCACTACGGACAAGAGGTGAAGAGCAAAAAATTCCGGATGTTCGACTACGGAATCTACAATGTGGACCATTACACCAACGGCCCTCCGGACTACGATTTGACCAGGATCGAGACCGACATGTACCTGCTCTACAGCTCCAACGACTGGCTGGCTGCGAAAGTCGACGTGGAGCATTTCTACGACCAGCTGCTCCATTCCAAGGTGAAATACAACATCCCCATTGACACCTGGAACCACTTGGACTATCTTTTCGGGAACGACGCTCCCAAGGTTGTTTACAAGAAGGTCCTCGAAATTCTTTCCAAGTACAATTAAAATTTGTTGTTTGTGGTGTTTAGTAAGTGTGAATGTGTGACTTTGTTTTTTTATTATTTTGACGAAAATACTCTGTATTTGACGATTAAGCATAAAAAAAAAATTATGTACCCAAAAATTATTTCTTGATAATTATTATATTTTAATTATTATTATTATTTATTTTAAAACATAACAAATCCGTTAAAAATAATAATAATAATTGATCTTTCTTTTTTTTTTCAATAAAAATTATACACTTGCTGGAATATTTCGTTTTATTAGGATAAATTCGATAAATGGGAATAGAATTTTTCTCTTTTATGATTTTTGATGCTGATTATTATATTTAATTTGATTTGATTACCTAGTATAGGGTGTTTCAATAAGACCGCAAGATTTGAATTGCCCGTCATGTTTGACAGTCATAATAACTAGATAGAAATAAATAGAAAAAATAATGGCCTGGCTAAATAAAAGACCCATGTTACATTAAAATGCAAAATTATATTAATTAAATAACGGTAGTAATTAACCGCCGATAATTTAATGCACTTTACAGAAAAAGAATTTTATAATGCAGCATTAAATAATAAGAAACGCCATAAAATATGCAATTTGCATGCTAAAATGATGAACAGAATTTTTATTAAATATGCATTTTAACGAAATATGGAGTAGAACAAAGAAATATTATATTAGAATAACACAATAGAGCCCATATTTATAAAAATTAATTTAATTTGAAGTAAAAGGTAATAAGAGGAAAAGGTTTTGCTCTGATCCATATCTATAATCTCCGACTTTTCCTTGCCAGGAAAAGCATTAGATAAATAAAATAAGTAAATGGTGCAGAGATTTTGTCAAACTAGTCGAAACGAGTCTAAACGGTTCTAAACAGTTCTGATTCGGGAACGTTCTAAATTGATCTAATCCAGAATCTAAATGATTCTGGAGCGCTCTAAATGATTCTAAACAGTTCTAAAGGATTCTGGAGCGTTCTAAATAATTCTAAACAGTTCTAAATGATTCTGGGGCGTTCTAGATTGATCTAGACAGTTCTAAAGGATTCTAGACATTTATAAACAGTTCTAGAAGACTCTGGAGCGTTCTAAATGATCCTAGAAAGTTCTAGACAACTCTGGCTCGCCACCTTGCCCTATATATTTAAGGAGATACATTAACTGGAAAAATGTAAGTTGTATTGGAAATAAAATATTTCAGTCATTTATTATCTATTAAATAAATTAAAATTTGAAATAAAACATTTATAATACATGTTCACATAAAAATTCTTCAACATTTTTACATTTTAAAACAACTTCAGACAGACTTTTCAATTTCTCGATATGACTCTTATGTACATTGCTCTTAGGGTATTTGTAACGAAAGCCTTTTATGGACTTATCCAGTAAATAGTGCATCCACAAGACGTTAGTGAACGGCTCGAAGCTCGTCCAATTATTCCTGAAAATAATAAGAAAATAATGTGTTAAATGTCCTATTTTATGCACAAATGATCATGTAAGTTACTAAACTTTTTTGGGCAAATCTGTGTAAGCAAAATGAATTTATATTACGAACCTATTAGCCTTTTGCATTAATCTGTAGACATCGAATTGGTAATCTCCGTGCGCGGCAAATAGACCAGGATCTGCGCTTAAATCGTTATAAATGGTCACACCATTACAATCGATTCGCGATAGAGTAAAATCTATGATGGAAACTCTGATCCCTTCTAATGGTATTTTGTAATGTTTGTTTTCTATGTGAAAAGAGAAAACTTTTTTCTTATCCGGTTCGTCGGCTATCAACACATTTCCCCAATGAAGGTCGCGATGTTCGAATTTTAGTTGCTTTTCGGCCAATGCTAGACCAACTGCCACCTGAAATAATTAAAAAGTATATACAGGGTGTTAATTAATTGAGTGCCGATCTCAGGATATGAATATTTGGTTGATTTTAAGAAGAAAAGTTTATATCAATATATGTCCTAAACCTCTTATTTTTCGAGCTACAGGGTATTAGTTTTAGAAAAAAAAAACTTTTCTATCATAATTTTCTTATTACCCCAGATATTTTTATGAAATTTTGTACACACTTTTTAATTATTAAGGAGCATTATCAGAGGCAATAGATTTTTTTTTAATTTTACCTGTGACTTCCGTACGGGGTTTGAACTGAATGTTTGAAAAAAAGGTACGCCACTGCTTTTTCTAAAAACTAAAATTATTTTTAAAATCCTCATTTATTTTGGAGCAAATTTGGTCCGAAGACTTACTTTGCATGCATGAAAACTAAAAGGTTTAAGACATATATTGATAATATAAAATTTTCTTCTTAAAATCATCCAAATATTTACATCCTGAAGTATCGGCACTCAATTAAATGACACCCTGTATATGAAAACCAGGGATATTTCTGCATACGTTGGATAGGTCAAAAAGTAGCCCATCAAAGTAGCCCAAAGACAAAATCGTCCAAAGAGGGCTATTTCGTCTTTGGGCCATTTGCCTTGGACGATTTTGTCTGAGTTATTTTGTCTAGGCTATTTTATCTTTGAGCTATTTTGTCTTTGGGCTATTTTGACGGGTCACGGCTGGATAATGCATCGAGCCTTCATATTCTAATTTTAACGAGACGTGAAATAACCATTTCCGCTGCTAATAATCTGCAGGTTCCTTACCTGACAAATCGCAGAAAATGCCTGTTTGGCATTTCTAAATTCGTATGCCTCCAAATCTTTGCCGCCAAATGACATTTGGAAAGCAATGTACAATTGATCGTCTTTGAATAGTGTCGGAGAATCGTTTTCAGTTCCCTTTGTTTCTTCAAAATCATCCCACAGATCGATCAACCTTTGGGGATATTTTCCTTGTATGCATTGGATTTTTTGAATTTTAGTGAAGAAGTTTTCTTCGGTTTGATCGCTCACTCTCAAATTGCTTAATTCGCTAAAAAAGAACATAAAATTGATGATTAATGAGTATTAAATCTCTACAAAAGAAATGTATATGAATACCTGGCTATTATTATTTCAGACATAACTTCCTCAAACTTCTTTTGCCTCTCTCCGTTTACCAATAGGTCTCCCTCTATCGGTATTATTTTAAGCACGGTTAAACCACCTTTGGGATTTCTTAACAAAAACACCTCCCCGTATACTCCTTCGCCAATTTTTTGACAATTTTTCAGAATACTAAAAACCAAAAACAATATTTGATTAATATTATGCAATAAACGAAACACTGTGATGCCAAAGAATCGATATAACTTACGAATTCGAAAAGCATTTAGAAAATTTCATTGGAGACTTCTGATGGCATCTTCTTAAAACTATATCTCGCGGAGTGCCGGAAGTTAATTCTGCACTCTCCCCAGGAACAACAGACAATCTCTTCAAATTCTCACTCAAGCTCCCATCCTGTACGATATCAGAACCTTGCAAAAAATTGAAGATAGCAATAATTAATAAATGTTTTATATTTTATAAGGGCTTTAAGGGATCGAAATGAAAATGCGATTTGTTACTTCAAAATGAGAAAAAAATACTTCGTATTATACGGGGTGTCTATTATACTTCAGGATGTGAATATTTGGATGATTTTAAGAAGAAAAGTTTATATCAATATATGTCCCAAAGCTCTTAGTTTTCGAGCTACAGGGTGTTACAGTTTTGGAACAAAAATTACTTTTCTATCATAATTTTCTTTACACCGGTTTAGAACACATATTGATATAAACTTTTCTTCTTAAAATCACCCAAATATTCACATCCTGAAGTATCGGCACTCAATTAGCACCTTGTATAAGCCAACATTTTCATTTCCTTCACATAAATCTGAAACGCCCTGTGCCCTGTAGAAATATTTATCCAATGAAACTTACAATCGATACATGGCAGGAATGATGGTCTCCCAATTTTTAACTCTATAATACAATAATACAAAATTAATATAAACGCAGATAATTTTCAGAAAATAAAACCACTTACTCGATTCTTGGCTTAGTTTCACCCCACATTTGTTCTTGAACAAGCAAAGAGATCTTCTCCATCCTTTACCAGGCTTGAGTTTAATAGGACTCTCGGAATCGATCAAAATCACGCTCTTATCACATTCAATCTCATTGAGATCGAAAGATTTTGCTTGTGATAAACTAAATTTGTCGTCGTCGATCTTTTGAACAGTCCCGTTCAATGCAGGTTCATCTTCACTTTTAACCAACTTTCTACCAACTTCGGTCCTCCGTTCATCATCATGCTGTACTTCTTCACAATCAACATTGATATGTTCCAAAACGTTAGTTTGATCAGCAATGTTATTAGACAAGCTAAGTAGACTATTTTCTTGTTCATTGGACTCTTCCAGGCTGGATTGCAAAACAATTTGATTTGTACGCTTCCGGTAATTAATTGGGCTGTATGTATCGGATGAATTGCTTATTTCTTCGTGATCATCACTAAGGTTTTCTTCTTGTAAACTCCTTGTAACTGAACTGGAAATTGTACTAATAGTATCATGGGAATCGGAAAGATCGATGGAATTAGAGTGGTAATCGGTTCTATTGGATTGATCGTATGATAATTTTTGTTTCCTTCTGCTTGTTACGTAACTTCCAGAATTTCCACTTACGACTTCTTCCTCATGATCAATTAGTTTGGTTAAATTTATGCGTAATATTGAAGGTTTTACTTTCAAGTTCTTGTGAATAGACAATTTTTGCGACTGACCATATTCATCTTGATCGAATGTACTAAACAATTCGTTATGTAGCCCATTTTCACCAGCAGATTGGGAACTACATGTATTCGATAATTCATCTTCAGATTGACTCGGATCAAAGGAGGATTTAGTTATTTTTACTCTCAACTCCTTAATGGGCTCAGGTTTAATTATACTTGATTTGTTTGCAAAGTTAGTGCCTTGTTCTCGGCCAAATGTACTTAATAATTCCTCCGACTGATTCTCTAATTGATTATATGACTCTTCTCCGCTCGAATATCGTGAGCTGGATGCACTTGAAGGTATATCTACTTTAGAATGTTGAGAACTTCTTAGCGACATTTTAGTTATATTTACTCTCAAATCATTAATGCATTCAAATTTATGGATTTTTGATGTGTTTCCAAAATTTTCCTCGTCATCTGTATGTGATAATTTGGATAACTCGTTATTAAATGTTTCTAAAAAGTTTACTTGTTTAGAAGAACTATAATGAAACTGGTTATTAATAAAACCATGAAATTCTTCATCTTGATCATCTGAAAATAGATCAGGGGAAAAGCATAGATTGTTGGTCTTTCTTGAATTAAGAGATATTTTAGGCGAATTTATAACTATTTCCAGATCTTTGTTGCGATGTGATCCTTCCTCGACGGCACTAGCTGCATTCAATGAAACATTTTCACCGCTCTTGTGTAGACTTGTATCATCTTGTATAGACTTTTTGCAGCTTCTCAAAGAACTTCTGGTTATATTACAACAAAAATTATTACCTTCAGTATCTTTTTTATTAGAAATAACGCTGCTAATATCCAGCAAAGATTTTTCTGATATTTCTTGTTTGTTGCTCTTCACGTTAACTTGAACCGGGGTACTACAAAATTTATTTTCAGTCTTTTTATTGTTGATTTTTTTGTCCAACTGAACGGGCGTACTGCAAAACTTTTTAACATTGCTATGTAAATTTTGCGTAAATTTATCACATGATATACCTAAGCTGGATTCATCCTTGCCGAATAAATGCTCTACATTTTTGGGGAACTTGGTAAAGAAGCTGAACGATATCTCGAACGGTTTATGTTTTTGTTTCGACTGGAAGTCCCATGTATCATCTAAACCGGGGACACTAATTTGAGTATCACCTTTCTGTCTCAAACAGCTCCATCCAGAACTCGAAGATCCCTCACAGGTATTTTTCTTGTTCGAGTTTTCATTTGTATTTTTCGGTGCAATAAAGGGCTTATCTTGCTTTAGTAGCTTATCGAAAGTATTATCCAACGAAACGTGAATATGAATAGAATTATCACTCGTTAAAGCCGTCAAGCAGTTATCATTCCTAATATTTCTAATGGGTAATTCTCTCAGTGGCAGTCGCTTTTTCGGCTTTCGTCTCTTGGTTTTTTTGAACGTTGGTGTTTTCAAAAATAGCGAATTATAAGCGTCTGAAGGTTTGACTATGCTTATATTGCCTCGGCCATACGTTTTTGTCGGTGCCATTGTATTATTTATTGGTTTAGTAATTAGTTGGTGTGTGCGATAAGAGTTTTTAAGAGTATTTTGACGCTTTCATTTGTGTTGCACTAAAAAACGATACACAACACCAGTAAAACTTTTTTAAAAGTTCAAACTGCAGTCTTAAAATTAAACACAATATGAACAGTTAATCAACAGGACTTATTCCATATTCACTTTACTTTGATATCGCATTTTTAATTTAACCAGAAGCCGAAACGAAAAGCGATGTACAAATTTAAAAAATGGCAGTTATGGATCTCTGTCATTTGTCATCCCTTAATACCAGTACCAACATATAATATTTAGATTAGTTTGTCACTAAACTTTTCATTGTCTCTCTCGTTCATTGGTATTTCCCATTCACTCTATCTCTTTCTCACTTTAAGTATCATGATTTCAATACATTTCTACGTCAATTGTCAATAATGACATTAGTGACAGTGAGACAAGAGTGACAAAAGGTAATTTTTAGGTTATATATTTACATTTAAAATGAATATTATTTTCAATTTATAAATTCGCTCATTTGTTTATTTTTCTCGAAAAATATATTAGTTTTAATGGCTACTAAACTAAAGGCGCTGTCGCCGATTTACGCCCAAATTCTATCAAAGTTTCCCAAAGATATAACGTTTTGTTTTGCCTATGGTTCAGGTGTAAAGAAACAACTACAGAATGTTAATCAAAATATGCTGGATTTGATTTTTTGTGTGGACAATCCGGTGTTATGGCATCAAATTAATTTGTCGGCCAACCGTTCACATTACAGTGGTTTGAAATATCTGGGGCACAATTTCATTTCGCACTATCAGGATCATTTTGGAGCAAAAGTGTATTATAACACATTAGTACCGTTGCAGGGCATGTACATAAAATACGGAACTATTAGCACGAAGAATTTGATTACGGATTTATTGGAATGGTCTGATTTGTACCTGGCAGGGAGGTTACACAAGCCCGTTAAGATTATTGAGAGAGCAAACAGTCCCGAATTAAACACAGCCTTACAACTAAACCTCCAATCGGCCGTACACGCTGCTCTTCTAATTTTACCAGAAACTTTTACTGAATACGAATTTTACCATACCATTTGCAACCTCAGCTACAGCGGAGACTTTCGAATGATCTTCGGAGAAAATAAAAACAAAGTCGACAACATAATCAAGCCTCAAGTACTGAGTTTTCGTAAACTCTACTCGCCTTTTATAAACCATTTACAAGACTTTGTGGAAATACCGATACCTATATCTAAACAAATAACAAAACAAGAAGTAGTAGAAACCGTAAAACCTCCAAGTAACAACCATTATAAAAAATCACCCCTCCCAGAGATAGAACTAGTAGACGTGGTGCAGTGTAGGCAAGATTTTTCTCCCACGGCCCGTTTGCACCATTTGAACCAGTTGCCGAGGTGGCCCCAGAAGGCCTTAACCAGATTCTGGAACAAGGGGACGTTCAAACAGGACACAGAAGACGTTCTGCGAGCGATTGCGTATGATCCAGAATGCGGTCAGATAGTTAAAATGTGCATCGATAACATCGTGTGGAAATCTTCTATCAAACAAAGCGTCAAAGGCATTTTAACAGCGGGCATCTTCAAAAGCGTGAAGTACAGTAGCAGAAAAATTAGAAAAATGTTTTATTGATTTTAAATTTGTGTTTCATAAAAAATTTTAAATTTGTACGTGTTGTTTTTAATATTCTATAGATTGCTCAAATAACTTGAAATTTCATTTAAATCGCCATTTCTCCCTATTCTCGAAGCTTGTTAAAACATCGAATGATTTCCTCTTTCACAGGTAACTATGTCTTCTGGTTCTGATAACGAACATGACGAAACAATTTCGAGCTCAAAAGACAAAGTATTTGGACCAGCACTGCCTTCGAGTATAAAGAAAGATTCGGGCCAACAAAGCAGCATAATAGGGCCGGCTCTACCTCCCCATTTCAAACAAACTTCTAGTTTAATTGCAGACGCGAAATGCGATTCAAATCAGATAATTGGCCCCGAACTCCCTCCTCATTTAAAGGTTACTTCAACGGTGGGATCTGAAGCGGAGCCCAAAGTTATAGGGCCGGTACTTCCTCCGCATCTTCGAAATAAACTAATTTCTTCTACCGCGCAAGAACCGGAATCTTCTGAGATATCTTCGACTTTAGATGATGATTTAAAATATGAAGTGCCTCAACCAAGTGAGCTACAGGATTCAGATGATGATGATGATGATGCGTATGGACCCCTGCCTTTAGGGGCTAATCAGACTAAAGCTCACGTGGAGTTAGAGGAGAGAGCTCTGCAAATGAAGATAGATTTATTGAATCCAAACAGTGATAAGGAGCCAGCTAGAGAGGAATGGATGTTGAAGCTACCACCCTCAAAGGCTGCCAATTTGGGATTGGGGCCCAGGCAATTTAGGAGCAAGGAGGCGCCTGATCTTTCTGATAGGTAATTACAATTTAACCATAGAATTCTCAAGTAATTTGTCAATTAAAATGACGAAAACAGTTTGAATTAATTGTTAAAAATCTTGAATACTCAAATAATTCGTAAAAATAATGAAAAAAACTCCCCTTAACGCGTGGAAAATTAAGATTAGAGGGGGGTAGAGAAGGGTAGAAAACATAGACAACTTATACAAACCGTTTTAAGTAAGTTTTCTAATATTTTGGCATTCTTTTAGATCCTCCTGGACTGACACTCCCGAAGATAGAGCGAAGAAACGAAAAACTAAAAATGAAGAACCATTGGATATTAAAAAGTCGGCTGCAATAAGGGAACTGAAAAAGCGGGACAAGGAGCAGGAGGAAATGACGAAAAAGCATAAGAGATCAAGCGAAAGTTTAGTCGATATTCATATGAAAAAGAAGAAGGTAGGAGAGTAGCAATAAAATTCTCTTTAACCATTCTTGGTACCTCATTAAAGAAAATTTTTATGCTAAATATTGTTCTGCTATTTATTGACTATCTTTTTTTAGGACGAAAAACCAGAATCAACAGAACGGCGTCCTTTCAGTAGAGAAGTCGATTTAAAAGTAAATCGTTTCGATGAGGCTCAGAAGAAAGCGGTTTTGAAAAAGGCACAATTATTAGATACTAGATTTTCTACGGGAGAATCCAAATTTCTCTAAAATTAAATGCATAAGTCCGTATTTAAAAGTATTGTATTTCTGAATTTATTAAAGCGTAAATATTATAACTTTGGTCAGTTATTAGCAGCTTATTGGCCTCTATCTAGTTACAATTTTTGACAAAATTTAGTACACTCGAGCTTTACATTTTAATCTTAATTAATAATGAAACAAATGTAATAAAATTCATAATTTATTTTCAATGAATAGAAAAGCGATTTCAACATACTTACAAACTATTAGGTATGTCGACGAATTAAGTTTAAATATTATAATAAAATTGAACTCAACAACGTAAATTAAATTACAGCGGACATTAGAAAGAAATAAATTTATTACATTTAAAGAACATAAATACTGAATATAAAAATTGTAAAACGGTTGTAGAACTTATTAAGATGAGAGCAGAACATTAAGTTTTTCATGAGCGTATCGCATTTTTTCGTACAATTTTGATGGGCACCCGTGCTTTTTGATAGTTTCAAACCTAAAAGTACGGAACGAACGGTCTTCGTCTATAAATGTCACTGCAGCCATCAATGGACACATGATTATTTTTGTGTGATCTCCAAAGTTTATCTGTAGACAATAACAATACATTTAACAAAACAACAGTGATAAAATATTACACTTGTTGAATAATTTTTTACCTGTACAGTGCCATTATTTAATTGCATAAGAACTCCAGATGTCGATCTACACCATTGGTGCAAATGAGGAATCCTCGATATGGAATCGATTTCTTTAACAGCAGAAGCTCCCGTTTTCAAAAGATGCTCCTTCATATATCTGCTAAAGTACGAGAGAAGTTTGATTTTCTTCTCGAGGCTCGAAGGGTAATTATCGATAGTCATGTACGATTCCTCCCCGTTTTTGTCGATATAATGAACGTTTCTACAAATAAACCAAGTTAAGTTCGTACATAATATTTGTGCGTATTCGTTACTCACATTCCATTCGGAAGCAAAATAAGCTTAGTGGTATCGTTGAACATCACTCCTACACCTTCATCAGACAACTGGTACCCAAAGCCGTACTTGTCAGAATAATCCACCCACTTCGAAACCCATATCATGGGCTGCGCCGAAGGATCCGTCATTTCATCGGAAAAGTTGTACTGCCTAGCCGGCTTTGCTTTTATCGCCTTCAAAATAATACACAAATAAAACAAAAATTGACGCGTTATTAAAACGTCTTAAGCATACCTGTAGCAGTTGTTCCTTCAACGTTGCAAAGTTTTCTTTAGCATCGAACACGACGTAACCCTTTCCATTTTGTTGAGCCGCAGAAACTATACCAGCTGCGATGGAATTGTTTCTCTTTTGTGGCGAATCAGTAATGAGAATCGGATCTCCTAAAAAAACTCTCTCTATTTAAAAATCTCCTTAGACGCCTTATATTGTGCAGAAGCTGTGTTCTAGGTGACGCCTCGAACGGCTTAATGATTATAAACTTACCATTATTTAATTCTATAAGTGGTTTGCGAGTGTTCTCGTTAGTTTCAAATCTCGGAGCCATGTACAAAGTACTAGCGGGCAATTTGCTGGGGCAATATCCAGTAACGATGAATTCGTGTTTCAGCAAATCGCTGACCTTAGGTCGGCTCTCCGGTTGAGATTGAAGCATAAGCATAATCATATGTTTGGAAGGACTGGATATGTTAACGTTTATTCTAAAAGCAAAAAAAAACAGATAAGATGAATACGCGTGAAAATAAGCGATAAAATTACCTATATTGGCACTTCCTAATTCTCGAATAAGTTTCCTTCAATGAATTGGTCTCGAACGGGGGCCTGCCTATAAGCAAGGTGTACATGATGCAGCCAATCGACCAAATGTCTACTTCGAAGGAATGACCGAGTTTGTTCAGGATTTCAGGGGCGATGTAATTGGGGGTACCGCAAAGAGTCTTTTTTCTCTCCCCTTCGTATTCGATTTTGGCCGCCAGACCGAAATCGCCTATTTTAACGACCAATTCGTCATTTAAGAATAAATTGCCTAATTTCAAATCGCGGTGAATTATTCTATTCTGGTGCAGATAATTAACGCCGGACAGGATCTGTCTCATGTAGCATCTTGTCTCCGGTTCGGTTAAAAACTTTCTGCGCTTCTGCAATTCCATCATGGACTGTAAACGGAAAAAAAACATTTAGTTACCCAAAAGGACAAATTCCATTGCATGTTTTAAACAAAAATAATGACTAAATTCGTATAAGATGGATTTAGAACTTTTCGGAGCTATTTACAAAGCTCCAGAACAATTTACAACGATTCAAAACAGTTCAAAACGATTTAGAATAGTCCAGAATTATTTCTGAACTATTCGAAAAGATTTAGAACGCTCCCGAAAAATTTACAGCACTTCAGGAAGATTAAAAACAGTTCAGAACGACTTAGAACTATCCAGAATCATTTTGAACTGTTCGAATAGATTTAGGACGCTCGAGAACAATTTACAACGGTTCAAGGCGATTAAAAATAGTTCAGAACGATTTAGAACTGTGCAAAATCATTTAGAATTGTCCAAAAGTTCTAAATTCATATAAAACTTACCTTTTTTTTGCAGAGTTCTAAAATGATGTAGATGTTGTAATTGTCGTCAAAGAAATTGTAGAATGCGACTATATTCTTGTGGGTAATTGATTTATGAATTTCGATTTCTTGCGTCATTTTTTCCTTTTGATTTTCATTCAATAACAGATTCTTCGATATGATCTTTCCTGCGTAAGTTTGCTTGTTTCTGGTGTTCAATAATTCGTAACATTTTGCAAAGCCACCCTGAATAAGAAAATTAATACTTAATTTAATATTATTTAATATTTCCCCTTGTTATAAGGGAAAGTTTCTTTTGATAAACATAATAACTTCCTCTATTTCTAAGTGCTCAAGGATAATCCTTTCAACAATAACAAACTATATTCATCTATTACATATTGTTTTCAAGTTAAATACAGCTTAGATAAAACTTATAGCTTCCTTTCTTCATACATACACGTAAAGAAAAAGTTTCAAAATCGAACAAAAATAAAGATAAAGAAATTGAACTTACAAGGAGGAAAAAACGTTAAGCTTATCATTAATTTAAATCTACTTATTTTCCTTTGTGCACTGCATAGCTTACTACATATTCGAGTGCCTTAATTACTAATTACAATCATCGATTTATACAATAATAGAAAAGCATTGCACATCCTGATACGTTTACGTGCTAGAAATATTTTATAGATTTCCTTACCTTGCCATAGAAACTTTTTTTCTTGTAATACGTTTGAGTATGACTGTCGAAAATATCGTCGGGTATAACCTGCTGCTCTTTATTTTCTTTAGACATCGCTGCTTCGCTTCTGTTGTTCGTTACTAAAATTAAAAGAAAGAAACGCACACAGGAGTTAAATGACTGCAAAACTCGACCGATAGTGTGCAAGAAAAACCTTAATGGACGTTCAGTTTTGGAGTTGAGTTGTTAACCAAATGCCAGTTGGAAATAATTTAAAAAGCTCGTTTCTGATAGGCCCGGTCGCTTTGAATGATAACGGATATGAATCGATTGTTTCCACCTAGCGGTGTCGATTCGAACTATTAATTGTATTTTTATTTTTGGATAATTCTTTTAAATTTAGATGTAAATGGGTTTGTTTGTTTCTTATGAAGGTAAAAAAATGAGCTTTTCCTTTTTTAAGCAATAGTCTGTAACATTGTTTTGCAATTAAAAAATTTGACTGGTAATATCGATATTTTTATTTATACAATCGATATGTTTACTATCGATAAATAGAACTGTCAACTGTCATGTAAGATTGCCGTTTATAATTTTGAAATTCAAAAACTTGTAAGTTTAAAAAAATTGTAGGATTGCATTTTAGGTTAAAATATTCGTTTTATTATAATTAAGTGTATAATAAAGTATAATCTTTCTTTATCTATTACGTGAACTTTTAATATGCAAAATATAAACATTTTTAATTTGTTTTATTGTTTCTTAATATATTGTAAAATGTATTTTGTATTGCAAATTAATTATAAACTGACGACAAAAAAGTCAATTTTTATTAAATTTTCAAAGTAAAAATTACAAAAATTTTAATATCTCGTATCACAAAATCCAACTCGATTTCAAAAAGCTGGGATTAACACAGCCTTTGTCGTTCTACAATATTTTCCAAATCAAATAATAGAAATATTACAATTTTTTGACATAGTTAAGAATTTCGAAACCAGTATTCCATACAAACACGTTCGCTTTAACAAATCTCTTTGAGCCAGTTTCGTCCTTATAAAGTCCCTGTTTTGATTTTTTCACGATATCCGCACACTTATAATTGTTTCTAACGCAAGCCAAGTCGTTTTCATTCAGTCTCAATATAGGACAAAAATCGTTCATTCCGTCTCCGCAATATACGATTTTCGAGTAACTAGTATCAAAACAGCACTTTTGTTCTTGTATAAAATCCTCCATAATCTGCCCCTTACATAAATTCTTTGTGCTTAATTTACAAGTATCTTGCAAGTGGTACATCTTAATATTAAGCAGCCCCGTTTCATCGAATTGTGCAGGATTCGTAAACACTTTCAGCACGTGCTCCTTCAGTCCTTTGTCTTCTAACCACGAATTTATGAAGAAAGAATTAGAATCGCTGATGATGATGACGTCGTAATTGTGCTCCTCGTGCAATTCCCTGATCAGGTTGATCATGCCGGGCACTTCAGGTAGGCTCACGAGAACACTTCTAATCGCGCTCTCCATTATACATTCTTTGTGCAACAAATCGAAAATGCCTTGCATGAACATCGTCCAGCCATCGGACTTGTGCAGCTGCTTCACTTCTGGGGGGATTTTTTTCTGATCCAGCATGTTCATTACAACTACGTCTGAATTATCGTGGATTATTGTGTGATCGAAATCGAAAACTGCCAGCTTTTTAGCCATCTAAAAAAATCGAAAATTACTTGTATAAGGAGTATGGTCAAGTTTACTAAGTCTTACTACTTAAGTTTACTAAACTTTACCAGGAGGGTAAAGTTTACTAAACTTTACCAGGAGTATGAACGAATAAGATGTAATGTCTTGAGAGCTAGTAACACCTGGTGATATTTTAATATTGAAGAACAATGTTAATTCTTACCTTGTATAGTCGATTTATAAGATTTGTGGTTGCTTTAGTACTATAAATTTTGTCCTTACTATTGCGCCTAATATATTGCAGAGCCAAATTGCAATGGAAAAATGCCAACTCTAGATTAAAATTTGGAGTATAAAATCAATTATCTATTTTATGTATACTACATGATTTCTCTAGAAGGGTACATCATGCGACAAGGACAATTGGTTTATAAATATGACAAATGTCAATAAGACAAATAAAAATTATGTGTGCACGTAAATTAAAAACATTCCTCGTTAATTATAAGTGACGCTTTTCTGAATTGAAATGAACAATTTCTGAAGAAGGAATAATTCAGTTATGTATATCACGAGTATTGTTTGAAATTTAACAATTCATATGGCATCGTTTAAGTTTGGAAACATTTTTTTCATGCGGAAATGGAGGAAACCCATTAACGGTATCACAAAATATTTTTTTAATTGTAAATTACAATGAAATTTGGAATGTAAAGCAAAAATTTCCAATTTTGTAAACGAAAACAAAACAAACTGTATGTTCAAACTTCATGTCATTCATTACGTCAAATGTCAATTTTAAAACGCTGCCCTGTACTATGACATTCTATAGCTACAGCCATTAAATGACGTAACCTAACCTTACTTTACTCATCGATGACATTGAGCATGCATTAATTTGTGATTATTGTTTAAAAAAACACAGTTAGAGATAAAGTTCAAATGGGTTACTCGAGTGGGGTAAGTTAAGCAGTTTACGTAATATGTTCCTCTAAAGAACGTTGTTTGTTGCGTTGTCATTGTCTCATTTTAAACTTATTTGACATGGAAAAAGAGGATACCAATAGTAAGGTAAATCAATTAATCTAATCAACCGACCTAATTTAAAAACAATGCACTAATTACAATAATTATTCATTTACTTTGTAATTGCATCGATTGCAATCGACATTTGCATATATTTTGCTCATTTTGGGGTTAAAGAAAATAAAATTTATTGAAAATATAAAATACGAATGACATGTGAATGTAAAAGGAAAAGTAATAGCAGAAATTTTCAAATGTAACAAGGTCATTATTAATATATTAGTATAAATATATTGGTTATACCAAAAAAATCATTATTTTTTAATTAGAGCACATTACTCCTAGTTATTTTTAGAATGTACATAAAAACCTGATAGGGACTTATCTATATTATCATACTTCTTGTTTCCCTAATGGTATTTTCGTGTTTTGCACAATAGCAGTAAATGTTTCCTAGAGTATATGTAATTTTGAAGTGAACCTTGGGTTAAGAATCGTTCATGTTGAGATTTCTTGCTTAGTCTTTCTAATTTTAATGAGATTTTGGCTTTGAAAACACTTATTATGAATTATGAAACAAGTTTGAAAAGCAATGAACAGATTATACTTTTTCAGGTTCTTCCTATCGTGCTAGGAGTAGGAATTGTCGTTACATCGTTTGTTGTTTACAAGCTTCTGTTTTTCAAAGTTAAAGGTGAGTTAATGCATACAGGGTGTCTCGCATAAGAACCAACATGGAGTAAGGACTTGCAAGGAAGTCCAACATATGTTGTTTAACCCAACTTAACTCAATACATAACTGAGAAGTTATATGCCTTCAAAGTGGAGTTATATATAGTTATATATAGATAGGTTATTTTGCGGGACACCCTATAAATTAGAAGACTATTTGCTAATATTAGTTTGCTTGTTTTAGGTAAAAAGCATTTGTTAAAGGACCCCAATGAAAAATACAAATTACCTCTTATTAAAAAAGACATCATCAGTCATGACACAAGGCTATTTAGATTCGGCTTGCCAGAAAAGGATATGGTACTCGGTAAGCACAGATTTTAATGTTTTCATAGACCTGGTTTATTGTGTGACCTTTGTTTAATTATAACTGATACTTTTAGGATTACCAATTGGTAAACACATCCAATTATCAGCAAGAATTAACGACGAGTTAGTTATAAGATCGTACACTCCGGTTTCATCAGACGACGATGAAGGATACGTGGATTTAGTAGTAAAGGTATCTTTTCGCAAAACCATTACATTACGAGAAGTTACGATTACAATCATTGTAGGTATACTTTAAAGACGTACACCCCAAGTTCCCGCTGGGTGGCAAGATGACGCAATATTTGGAACAGTTAAAAATCGGCGACACCATAGACGTACGAGGTCCTACGGGTCGCATAGAATACCATGGACATGGTAAATTTACAGTGGTGAGAAGTCGCAAGGACCCTCCGGATGAATACAACGTTTCGAAAGTAGGACTAATCGCCGGCGGTGTTGGGATAACGCCGATATTGCAATTGGTGAGGCACATTCTGAAGGATCCTTCGGACAAGACGCAATGCGCGTTGCTCTTTGCTAATCAGACCGAGGAGGACATTCTGCTGCGTGAAGAACTCGAACAAGCCGCCAAAGAGCACCCAGATCGCTTTAAATTTTGGTACACTTTGGATAGACCACCGGCAGGTAATATAATTAGTTTCTAGCTTTCTTCAACCATTTCTTGGGTATATGGATATATTTTCGGTGGTCGTATTTTTTTAGATTGGACGTACAGTTCGGGTTTCGTTGATGACAAGATGCTCGGTGAGCATCTATTTCCCGCAGGCGATGATAATTTAGTGTTGATGTGCGGTCCTCCGCCTATGATCAATTTCGCTTGCTTACCTAATTTGGTAGATAAACTCGGTCACGATAAGACCAGGTGCATTTCGTACTAGGTTATAGTTTCTTGTTGATTGACTGGAAAAAATAAACTTCGAGGTTGATAGATTTATAGGATTTTGTTATGCTGATCTGTTAAATTTAACTCCTTTGAATCATTGTAAAAGGCATAGAAATTAGTAGTTTATAGTTTAATTTTTTGTATGAACTATTGCCCCTTATCCTTTGTAAGAGGCCAAAAGTATGTACATTTGTAATTGTTACAAAATATTCATAATTAATTTTTGTTATTGGAATTTTAAGCTTTTTACTTGCGCATTTAAAAAATATTTGAACTATACAGATTCGAATCGCAAAGGGTGAATAATTATTTGACTTTTATACTATTCATAGAGTGCATTTTATTTCACATTTTTATTGGTATAAAGCTTAAGAATAAACTAATTTTGCTTATTACTAGTCTCTTAATGTTTAATCAATTTTGTTTCATCTTTTTTTCCATAATTTACCAACCTATATCCAGTTGTTCCTCATTTATTTATTAAGCCTTGAGAATATTCTTTTTGAAAACATCGGATTGTGTCAGGCAGGTGAATCTTTTGAGCCCCTGTTATGGCCACAGGAGACACAAACAGGCATCTCTTACAGATTGCAAAGGATTGATGCCTTAATCGAGGGACTCTGCTTCATGGATGTCTCTTCCAAAATGTGCTCAAATTTTGTACACTTTGTATAAAAAAAGGTTTCTACAGGGGCCCTTCTATTTAATCTGCTAAAATTCTAACAAATTCCCTTTATAATGTCTCTTACAGATTGATGACAATGCTGTACGTTATAAATTATATAATTCGTGGGGATATTTTTTAGATTGGAAATACAGCAGCGGATTTATTACTTGCGAAATGCTTGACGAGCACCTTTATCCAGCCGGTAACGATACTGTTACGTTGATTTGCGGACCTCCTGCCATGGTTAAATTCGCCATTATGCCGAATCTCACAGACAAATTAGAACATGACAAAAACAGGATTATTGTTTACTGAATAAATTTTCAGATTTATCGTTTCTTAAAAATTTTAGGACGTAAATATGATACAAAAATAACTAGAAAAATAAAAGTAAATCGCAGAGATACTTAAGCTTTTAATTAAAAAAAGTTAAAATAATTTAATTTTTCTATCTAAATTTAAAATAAAGGAACTTATTTACAAATGAAATTAAATATGATATAAAATACTTTATACATATGCTAATACGTAAAGGAAACGAGAATTCTAGTCGTTTCGGCCAACTTTCGAATACTACACTTTATACGTGCTGGATATATCGGGTTTTTTAGGTGTGTAGCCATACAAAAATATAGAAAATATCACCGAACTGGCCCCTAGAGTAAATTGCACCGATAATTCGAAATCGAAAATATAAATCGAGGCTACGCAGGAGATAACGATAGCCAAAGAGGTCGCGAAACCTTTCAGAATATTATCAGCGTATTTCACGACAACAGCCACTATAAGCCCGCCGACGGCTTGTAAAACTATCAGATAATTTACGAATTTATCATAACCAAAGAAGAATCCCTTTTCCCTGATCGTAGCCCCGTCGTACAGGAAGCACGATATCAACCCGAAGGGTACAGAACAAAAGGACAATTGCACGTTCCTTATCCACACGGTCACGTCGCTACCTTTGAGCATTTTCTCGAAATACACCCCCGCGAATCCGGACAGGCAGCATGCCGTCAACGCCGCCATGAACCCGATGAAATGATTTTGCTCGGGGCCACTGGTCGATTTCGAGTTGTCGTCCGAATGGGCCAATTGAACGAGCACTATTCCAAAAACCAAAGTCAAAAGGGAAATCCATTGAGTACGGTGCAGCTGTCTTTTTAAGATAAAAACGGAAAACATGGCGGTTGTCAGGATTTTCAACTGGTATGTTACCTGAAATAGAGAAAATTATCAATGCAAATATAACCAATATCAGGTAACTATAAAAAAAATTGTTAATGTAAGCTTAAGTACTAAATAAACTACTCTTTTCAGGTCATAAATCTCTCTAAGGAGAGCCTAGGTCAACCCTCCGAACATTAGATTTTAAATATTTTAAGCTTCCAGTATTAATATGTTATATGAGTACGTTTGTAAGCTCTATCAGAAATTATTATTATTAATATTATCGAAGATTTATTTTTAACCAAGTTATGCAATGATTTTACATTCTTATTTACAGTGCACTAAGAATTTTTTAAATGCTGCAACAACAATTATTATCTATTAACCATGGAAAAAAATGTTACAGGAATTGTGGATAATTGGTGGCTCACCTGGTACGTGGCAGCGTCTAAATGAGATGCGGATACGTAAAGAAGATTATTTTGTAGCAAATATACTACGGAAGGTACGCATATTTTTAGGGTGTCAACGGGTTGCTTTACAATTTGTTGGTCTATCATGTTGACCATTTTGACGATTCCTCCTGCTTCGATGTAAACAATTACAATGCAAATGACGAGCTTTACGACTTCAGACATCAGTACAGCTGAAAATTAATTATTTTAAATTAATTTGGAGGCACTATCTTAGGCATATTCTCAAAGGCTATAATGGTACAGGCCCCCTATGAAAGATGCAGAATAAGGCAGCCCCTGCTATATGTCTGTTTTCATGCGGACGCCCTGTATAACTCAAATAAAATTTTTGAATGATTTTGTATTATTAATTTGAAGGATTCTATTAAGGAAGATTATGTTTGATCTTAAAGCATTCATTCAAATACTTCAAAATGCAGTAAAAGATGTGCTCATACAAAAATATTTACGACGAAAAATATTTAAGACAATATTATTGAATTTAATTAGTAGTTTTCCTTGGCTGATTTAATTATAAAGAGCGGTAAATTTTTATTGAAGGTTATAAGGTGAGAAACCGTTGTGTGTTGATTCATCTTGAATATCTTCAGGGTTTCTTTAATGTCCTTGTTAGAAAGATTTTTTAGTAATTTCGCTTTACAAAAAATGAAACTATTTTCTATTTAATCTGACGAGATTATAATTATATGACCCTACTTACAGGATTTAAACAATAAATTAACTTATTTGATTATCAAGAGTTTTAATAAAATCTCAAATATAACGATGACGATGGTAAAACATTAGAAAAATTGTATAGACTGAAAAGAGACCTTCATAAAACGTAAGTTTGTTAATTAGAAACTAATATATTAGTTCAATAATGGTATACTCAAATTAGAGAGGCCTTTAGAACAGGAAAGCAAATGGACAATCAATCAGTATATGTCAAAGAGTATATTTTACATATATTTTAATTAGTACATCTTTGAATGAGTATATCCGTAAAAGGCCTTCATTCGAAAGCTATTTCTTGCATTTATTTACTAACCTGTAGATGATAGGAACATATCTCCATCTCGAGTTCTAGCATACCTCATACTTAGTCCTAATATAGCATTTTGAAGCGTCAATGTTATTAAACTAACATATTTAAGGAATGAATTAGAATCTGAAATAAATCAATGAAAACATTCATAATTGAATAGTTAATGATTGTAGTGGAAAATTTACCTTTTTTCTGCATGTTGTCCGCTTTTTTTCGAGGAGCACTGTTGTTGTTCACTAAATTATTTTTCTAAAATCCAATAAAAATTAACATAGTATATGGTTTCTAAGATTTTAAAACTTATCGGTCTAATATCAAATACATATTAAAACGTATTTCTAGAGATTAAACAGAATTATATTCGAATAACATCACTGACACGTCTCATTTGAGGAGCCGTATTATTTGGATTTGGATTAAAAAAAAAAGAAAGGAAGGTTATTTATTTTTAAAAATTGACATGTGGCAAAAACTAACAGAATAGACAGCCAGACTAACCAACGTAAGCGAATGTAACATCCCACTAATTTTACATTGAACCACGGCCGTGTATTTATAGGGTGTGGAAACAGTGAGAAAATTTATAACATTTGTAGCCAAGTAATATAATTGAGAAATAAGCTCTGTAAATAATTATTAAATTATTTACTTATGGCTGCATCTCTAGCAACCTAAATGTTGAATTCAAAAATTCACTTTCTTTTGAAACCAGTTTCCAGACCTTATGATATACGACCGTGCATTAAACATATGATTTTGACATTTACACTGACAGATGTCAAAAATGAAATAAATAAACATTATCAAAAGTGTGTATAAAGTTCAAAAAAAGCATGTAAAATATCTAAAATAATCTACTGAGTAGGTAGATGCAATTTAAAGTAATAAAATGCAATTTTATAAAGCGAAAGTGGCAGATATCCTGCGATCAAATCAACGAGATGAGTTATTTATTATGAATTTAGAACAACAAATTCATTCGTTTCTGAATTTATTAAATTCAAGAAATCATCCTGCACTAAATACATCAGTACCGATGATTGCCAGTATTTGGTATTATTTCATGACCTCGTTAGCTAGAATACAAACTTTAGGAGAGGAATATACTGGTACTATAAGGGTAACTCGTGAGAAACGGATACCTACTAAAAAGGTAAGAAAAAGCAGTAAATTTGTACATATTTCTAATACACTAATTTAAGTTAGGGATAATATGGTTGGCATTCCACGTAGGAGGTGAACCGATGTTGGATCGTTTTTTAAATTACTCAAGAAAAGCAGTTTCCTCATCCCAATTACAAAACAACGCTAAATCCTTTCTATTAAAATGCATCGAGATATTAAAAGAGGAAAAAACAACAGTAAAGAGAATCCACAATGCATTGTTCTACATTAACGGAAAATACTACAATATTTCAAACAGAATTACTGGAATACAATACGTAAACATACACTTATTTAATACATAATCATTACGTTACCTAACTCTTTTCACAGGTACTACTACGAGAATGGCTACAAGATGACACCTTCACAGGCAGCTTCAAATTACTCGGAAATCTATCGTTATTTTACGTTTTGTTAAACATCGTTTTCAAACTCATCTCCCCGAACAACAAATACGAGGTCGTAGACGATACGAAATTGAACGTTTCCTCAAAGGGCTGCGTGCTTTGCAGCGACAACATCAAATCCCCTTGTTGTACACCATGCGGGCACGTTTTCTGTTGGAACTGCATTTTTGAGAGTTTGCGATACCAAAAGAGCTGTCCCATTTGCAGGGAAGAAATCAACAGAAGTCGAATCATATTTTTACAGAATTTTGTATAATGCTATATTTTTAAAGATATATATTTTGTTTTCAGTTTTACAACGTCTTTATTTATTATTAAAGCTGCTTTTAGTTTTAAAATTAAAATTCGCACTAGTTCTAATAGGTGACTGAATAAACTTAAAAGAACAGGCTTTACTGTTTAAAACTTTAAAAGAAAAAAGAAGCAGAATTGATAAATGACATTTTAATGTGAGGTTATGTTTAGTAGATGCAGTAGGAAATACTATTTAAATTATTCAATTTACCTTAGTATTGACTCAAAAATGATTCGAAATAAATTAATTACCAATTATTTACAATTACAGCAAAAAATAATCTACAACTCCCATTATTTCAGCACAAAAGTTGACATAGCAAAATTAGATGAAGAACCCAGTGCTACAACAGAAGGTATAAATACCTATACATTTCTATTACAATTAAATTTGCTTATAATTCCTGTTTAATGCCTTTTTAAGTGGACAATGAGGAAGCGAAACTTAGGGAAGAAGAAATCGAAAGGCTTCGAAACAAATCGCGTTTGAGGCAACCAGATCGCTGTATACTAATGAACAAAAACCCTTACCCTGAGCCGATGGTGAGCCATCACGGGACTCTAAAGTATATGAGGCGGACGTACGGTCGGTACGGCGAAGCTTCCGGCGTCAATCCGGCTATTTGCTGGCCTGTAAAAGAAGAACTCGATAATGCCAAGGAGTACGAAAGGGCCGCTCATCCGTTCACGATTCAGGACATGATGGCCGAGGCGGCGCGCGTTAAAAAGGAGAAAGAGGAGGCGACTCAGACCAGGCAGAAGGATATCGTGACCAAAATGTTGAAACTGGAGGAATGGAAACGCGATTTGGCTAATAGGATAGCCAAGAAAGAGGCAGAAGCGATCGCTGCTAAAGTAAGTGATTTTGCTTTTTTTTAAGTAATTAGTAGATAATTTGATTCATGAAATGCAAAATAAGTACTTATAGAAGCTATTTTGATTTAAAGATTAGGATATAAAGATATATCAGGTGCATAATAAATTATGTATTATGTATAAATAATGTTAGAAAATCATAAATTAAATTTATCACATGGTCTTATCTTATGTAGTAAAAGAAATATAAAGAATTTGATAAAACATTAAAAAATCAAAGATAGTGTTTATTGTGCACCTGGTTGTAAAATAATATTGATGAATATAGTACCTTGAACATGTAATTTAGAAATCTTATAATTATCTACAGTTGTCTCAGAATTGTGATAGATTATAATCGATAGATTATAATAATTGAATTTTATTGACTGGCATGACTTTTATCTGCCAAGAGCTAACTGTACCGCTCACCCTTAACATATTATTGTTACTCGGGCATTGTTCATTACACTCAATATTTAATTTCATAGTCTAATTTTTGATTCATTAATTTTTTATTGTTATAATTAATACATTTAACAATATTTTGTTAACAGAGCGTCCTGTTTTCCCGTGGTAGACCAAAGTTATACTTTCAAAAATTGATATTTTTCCTTAATTTTTTTTCACACTGCTTACATTACAAAAGTAACATTTTCTGCGTTATTTTAAATGGATCACCCTGATGTATTTTATATCATTACCAGGAAGTATTTTTTATGTACTTTCATTCATATTAGATATTCCCCATGCCTAAATTTAATACATTTCGAGATATTTAATTCTGTAATTTTTGTTTTAAGTTTTTTGGTATCTTCTATACAATAACAGATATAAATGTTAATGCATCTTAGATTGCAATGGGTGCAACAAAAACAACTTCCATTAAGCACTTAATATAAAGGAAAAAGATAGGGTGATATTGTGGGATTACAACTTTCTCACTCCAACCACTGTTATTTTTATAATCTATGTTTGTAACCTCAAAGAATTGACCATATTGCAGACTTTTATGCACTTATTTGTATAAAGCTTTTCCATAATAATGTACCACCCTGTATATTCGTGCTCTTAAAAATGATTACAAAATATTCAACGTGGAGTACTAAGCGGCGAAATATGAAATACATTTTTGATAGGGACCATTTTTTTAACTTTCTTCTATTTGTATTTATCATAAATATGTTTATTAGATTTATTTAAGTTTATTGCTTGCCAATATTAAAAATTTATTCTATTTTGATTTCCACTTACCCAATAAAAATGATTTATCGCCAAACCTATATAGAACCAAACGAATTAATAACGATACTCGTAAAAAAATGCTTGTTCATTTGCATTCAATTAATTATTATTTTTAACAATAACATCAGCAATTTGCGACTTGCGAACTAACCTCAAATCAATTCTAAACTTATTTACATAAAGTGAAAGCTTAAGAAATTCACCATTCATGTTGACTGTATTGAACAGGTAGAGGTAAGAGGTAGAGAAGAGGTGGTCAACATGTTAGGTTCCATTTTATTTAATATTTTTTTAAACGTAATTTTGAAAGTTTCGTTATACTAGGGGCGACCAGAAAGTAAGTTCTGTTTGGTAATTTAAAAAATCCTGTACAGATATAGAAAAAATATTGCACAATAATCTACGGTTCTTAAGCATTTTTTTCTATATCTGCACAAGATTTTTCTTGTATTAACAAACAGAACTTCTTTCTGGACGCGCCAAGTATTATGGATGGCTTATTAAAGTTTTGTTAATTTTACAATTAATAAAATCGAATAAAGGGATAAGTACAATCGAAGGTGAAATCAAAACCGTTGTATTATTAAAATGAAATGCAAAGGAAGTGTTTTAGCAAAAATGTTTAGATGAAAGCCATAATATTTCGTTTCTAACATATAGTGCTACTAATTTCCTCAAACATTTTTGAAAATAAATTACATTTTCATTAACAAACTGGTTCTTGTTTACTGAAACAAATTATAGATATTTTTGATTTTTCATACTCACATGTACATTCTGACCGCATACACAAATGATAACGATTCCATTTATTTGAATCACAAGTGCTTTTACACAGTTTCCTATATTTTTACTTAATCATTGATAACACTTGATTTGGATACCAAAGGTAGCAAATTTGATTGTATAATTAGATCGTGAATTAAATTTTAGTGATAATAAAATGTTCACAGTAGTATTTTAATGATTGGCATTGAAAATGTGATTCTCTGTAGTATTTTATATGTAAAAATAACATTGTGTTATTTGTTTGTTCTGTTATTAAAAAACTTTTATTTTTATTATATTTTTGAGTGTTTACTAATGTAGACTTGTTTTAAATAATTTCAGCAAAAGAAAGAAAGATTAGTAGAGGAAGTTAAGAGGCATTTCGGCTACACAGTTGATCCTCGAGATGCCAAATTCCAGGAAATGTTGGAACAAAAGGAGAAAGAAGAGAAGAAAGCGAAAAAGGAGGAGAGGAAGAAGTTGAGGGAAGCTAAAATGATGGAGAAGTTGTTGAAGAAACCGGAAAGCAAAACCGAGAAAAGCGAACAAAATAAAGAGGGCACGGAAAATACAAAAGAAGAATTGCCCGATAAAAAGGAATAAATTTTATTTTATAATTCAGTTTTGTATATTAATTAATTCGTAATACATAATAAAGTTTGTTTTTGTAGTTGGATATTTAGTTTTTTTAATCATTTTCCTTTAATATATTTTTGTAAAATTTCATCAAAAGAAAATTGTTCATGAAAGTAGAGCGAAAATTTTCATGAAAGTGGAGAGAAAATTTTCTACATAAAAGTAGAGAGAAAATTTTGTGAATAAATGTGGAGAGAAAAATTTGTTAATAAAAGTAGTGAGAAAAACCTTAAAATAATTATCCATATGTTTTGAACCACCTTGTATATTGATGTAATGTCAATTTTTATTGTAGCGCTTTAATGTGATATTACAGAAATCTGTAAGAGAACAATCTATTCGACACCAGATGTCGCTAGCGATCGGATTCCATATTTTTAACGGGAATGACACGGTTTTTGGGGGGATCGTGAAAGAAAACTAGCTTTAGAAGGCTTACTATGCGCAGTACGAGTGCGCGCAAGTCTTCGCGTTATCCAGATTCTTTGTACCATTCCTAGCATACCACAAACAGACAAACTCTTCGTATTAACGGACCAAAATCCGTCCTAATTATCCAATAAAGTCGGCAAAGAGGCGCCCATTTTTAATTTCGGTAAGTACGCATCGATTTGTGAATGTTTTTCATACAGTTTTAGCTTGTTTTGGCCTAAATATCCGTTAGAATGCCAGCAATGTGTCCACAATTCCTACAATACTTTACATACTTGTCATGCTTGCTCTTACGAACTCGCGACGACCGGGAACGAGCGGGTGTCGGTGCCATTTGAATTTCGAATTTTAGTTTGGCGAAAATCTCTAATGATTATCTATCGTGTATTGTTATCGAAATTCGAGTGCCGCGTTTTAACGCGAGTGTTGTGATTAGTGAATAATGAAACGTCGTTTCGTGTGTATGCGACCGATGGATAGTTTCCTGTGTTTTGCGTTTACACATTTGTTTACAACAAACAGTTGTTCATTTTGATTGTGCTAAGTCGAATTATTATCAGCGAGTTTTCGATCGGTAATTTCTCTATCGCGACGGTAGTGATTTTGCAATACGTAATTATATTGTTTTCCTGTGCATTACGATTTTTTTAATCGGATTTATTCTGTGATTGTTTGGTTATATTTGTGTGTGTTACCTGCCGACGGGGAAGCTTCGAGATTTTTGGATTTATCTGATACCGATCGCATTGTTAAATTTATATCGCAGTTTTGTCGCGGCATGTACTTAGGTATTTAAATTTTATTTTTAATTTTATTACGCTGGTAGTAATTGTTACGCATTGCTGATGTGAATTATATAATTTTCGATACGATTGCTGAAAGGTAAAACTTGATTTTACGTCCGTTTATGCAAGTTGAAATTTGTTTGCATTGTTTAAATGCTTTTTTTTGTGATTAAATCGGTTAAAATGATAGGAAATGCTATTTATTCTCTTTACAATGGAATTTGCAATTTGTTTAGATGCCTACACAAAATTAGAAAGGTATATAAACTATAATATTTAATATTGCATTCTTCCAGATAGAATTTGCTTACTTTAAATAGGCGTTTTATTTTCTGTAGGTGAAATTCGTATTTTTATTAGACAAGATAATGAAAAATTTTACATGATGTTTCCTACTAATTAAATGCATTTTTGCTTATATTTTTTCACCTCTAATTAAAGGTTTTTATTATTGTATCATTTATTTTGTAAATGCATTTTAAGTACATTTATTTCTAATAAATAATTGCTATTTTAAGTAATTTTTCATCATATGGTTTTGTTTAGGAAATGTAATTACCACATAAAATTTTATCAATTAAAGATCCTGTAAAAATTATCGAAAAATTATGAAATCGTTATCTAAAATTCATGAAAAAAATCGAACAAATATCTTTACATAATGAGAAAATGAAATAATAAGATATTTTCATACATATCGAGAATTTTTTTTTAAATATTCTGAAGGACCCTAAGAATTAAATAATAATAATGTAAATTAATAATTTTCCAAAAAAATTACTTATCCATAGATCTGTTATTATAGTGCATTTTATCTATTTCTATTGTACATTTCTATTTCCAATAATTTCTTTCTTTATTTTGATAAATTAATAATAATATTTGAAATTTTTTATGTATTTCATAGTTCTCTTTCATTCATTTATACACCCACCACACACATCCATGTAGCTGCGTATGTTCGAGTTTATTGTGTATAGAAAACCAATTAAAAATCAACTAACTCTGTTTTCCATTTTAATTAGTATTTTCGAACAGTTCAATTGACTGAAAAAATATTTATTTGAAATTCACGAATTTAAAACTATTCAGTCATAAAATCATTAAATTAAAATAGGTGCAAATCTTATTCGATTTTCTTTTGAGCAAAATCGGTAAGAAGTAAAGTCCGTTTTATAAAACAATCATTAAATTTCTCAAGTTGCAATTCAGTAAAGACTTAAAGTTTCTATTGTTCTACAGCAGTTATTTTTCTATTCAAAAAATTTAATATTTCATTCATATTTAGAAAATATTTCGCATTGTTCTCGCCAATAAAATCCATTTAATTAGTGAAAATTATCAGTTACATCTCACTCAATCTTTGGCACATTTCTTAAACATTGAAATTTTCGGTATCAGTAGGTTATTCAGTTCTTCGATGAATAAAAATGCAATATAATGTGATTATGTGATTTATTAGAATGTTCACTGTTTATATTGATTTCCTATTATTTTCATTATTCACTAACAATTGTAGGTATACATTTTGTTTGTAGATTATCAAATTTAGCGAAGATAAATCGTAATAAAAACTTAATGATTATTGATTTTATATCTGCTTTCAAGTGTTTTTATCTTTGATTAGCTACTCTATAAATAGTAACCAAGGGGCAGATGTTATAATTTCATTTTTACACACATTTTAGGACAAACTTAGGAATCGTAAATTAATCGTTATTTATTTTATTATTTTATGAAATTGATTCCCTCAAATTTGAGACCAATTTATTACCTATTATATTTACTACATGATTAAATATTGATCAATAGTAATTCGATTTGAAGATGATATCAAACAATTGATTTAATATGAACAATAACTCTATTATAGAAATGTGTTTTTTATTAGATTAACTCGATTATTGGCATAAAAAATATTTTCAGAACATTCCAACTGTGTAGTGGATCGCAATAATTTTGAAATATGTTTAGATTTTTTTTTCACTTCTCTTATCAATTGTTTAGTTGTGTCTTCCGCATAATTGTCATCGCATTCTTTATCAAAATCGAAGATACCTATACATTTTGTAGATACACACATAACGACATACGCCATACATAGAAATCAAATTTTAATAGTGCACAATTTATTTATATTTATTCCTGAAGCGATTTTGCATTACTAATTTCCGACAAATGCCTAATGAAAAACGATGGGAAACCTAAGTGGGTGTATGAATACGAGTAGCCCACTTTAGAAACCTGTTTGACTCGTTCAAACGTTAATTACTTTGCATAAACCAGACATAAATTTTATCTTCAATAGAGCCAAATTTAATTAGATATATTATTTTTTTTAATTCGGTTATTAGGTACCCTTAATCCGTCCGTCCAAGTACTAGGCGATGAACTGTGGGTGTACCGTTAGGTTTTTTTAGTACTTAATAATGGTGTTAAAGATCAAGTTTTCTCTTCGAATAATGATCGACGATTTATAGGTATTTTATTGTGTACAACTGCGATTAAGTTAAGATAAGATATTGTTTTCTGTTGAATTGAATTTTGATGTTCCAAACGCCCAGAGTTTCAGCTATGCATTGCTCGTTATTTATTGGCTTTATTGACAGTAATACCTTGCATTGTGTACCAAGCATGAAGATGTATTTTTTATTAAGGTCTACCTCTATCCCAATAGACTATAAAGAGAATAATTTATTAGCAAAGTTTAATTTTTGAGGTGTCTATAGAAAGTACAAAATAGAGGATAAATAGACCAAAACTTTAAGGGTTTTTAATATTAATTAAGATATTCTATTTAGAAAAGTGAATAAAGAAAAACCTTATGAGAACTTTGAAGAGGCTGAATTGTTTAGTCATGCGGATAATTAACCGGGAAAAAATCCAAATGCTGTCGAAATGTAGCCATCCTACTTTTTAGCAATAATTCTTGCATAGCCGCGTTTCTGGAGAGAGTCGCAACAAGACAAGTTTATTTTAAATCTGTCTAAAATTAATCTGATTGCAGACGACCGACCGAAAGCCAGAGCCTGATGCCTCTCTTTCGGCCCGCATCCTCGCGTATATGTTACACGAACGTTTATTTTCACGCGTTTAAAATAAACTACTGGTCTAATCAAACAGCGCTTAGTGTCTGCATTAGTATCCTTCGCTTCTGGGCAATTTCAACGTTCGAAAATCGGCGCTTCGGATAATTTAACGTTAGGAAATAGATACGGAATGATATGTAACGCTACTTATACTTTTAATTTAATTGGTAATATACACCTACATTTTTCTTGGTTTCACTAGAAGAAACATTTATCATGAAGTTATCTTTTAAAGGGAGAATTTGACGGACTCGGGAAGGATTATTCAAGGTTTAAAAAAAAAGGCATGAATGCCTTTGATCATCCCCAACATGAAAGCTTTTGATTATACCGTAGATAAAGTTGTATGAAAAAGGAAAAAGCGAAAGCACTTAAAGACAGGATGTTATGAAATGTAAAATAAATAGTGAATTTCGCCTTAAATCGGGAATTTTGGATCCTGCACTACGTAGTATCCTGTATACTGTATTGTAGACATAGTGAAACTGTCGATGATAACGCTTCGCAAATGAGGAAGCTGCATATAAATTCCAGAGAACCGCGACACCACGCGATCCGCATACGACGGTTTCCATTATTCCAGCGTTTATCATAAACTTTATAAAATTAAGCATTTAATGCGGAGTCGTAAAACTGAACTCGGAGGGATATAAAAATAAATTATGGTACGGTCTCGCGAAGGATGAGAAGGAAGCGCCGAACGTAATCCGCGCGATGAATTTACGAGAAATTTCAAAGCATGCATGTATAACGAAATGGAAATTCGCTATCGTTTTTAATTGTTTTCCTCGTAAATTTGTTTGCAAATTAAATGTTTTTTTCCGAACAAGAAATGGCTGGAATTGAAGTTTGAAGTATGGGGCCATTTAATCGGCTAAAATATTTACCATATTATCTTATCTACATACATCTTCAGCTTTCCAAAAATATAATGTATAATGTTTTACTGAGAGTGGTTTAAAAAAGTTATGACCACTTTTTCATGAACTAAGTTTACCACTCTGTATAGAAACTAAATATGGATTGAATTGAAAATAAATTTGCAAATATTCTAAAAATGAAGGCAAAAGTAACTTTTTCTGATGATGTTATTTGAAACGAATCACCTATATTTTATATTATTACCATAAAGTATTTTTGAAGTGCTTTCATTCTTATTAAATTTTCCCTATACCTAAAATTAATATAGTAACAGATACCTACATATATTGAGCTTTTCCATTTTTAATTTTATTATGGAACGACCCCGGTAGCATTTTCATCATTTTTGCTTCGTCATTTGCAAAAAACTGTATAGACTTTTTACCTAACCATTCAAGATTGTTATAAAGCAAATCATCTTCATTTTTTTTTCATTTTTACGCGTTTCATTTTCTAAGCGATCGGTTTTATAGATTTCCGTTGTGCTTGCTCGAGTAACTCCGAGCTACGAAATGCATCGCTGGTAAAAAAAGGCAATCTCTGGTACATAAAATAATCGTAAAGCCGTTTATTAATCTCCCATTACGGCTTTATGGTACTATTTAAAATAATTGAGTGAAAAACAATTAGTGTGTATGCCGGAACATTCCGACTTTATGCTTTTACATACTACAACTCGGGAAATTTCAGGAGTTATTCGAATGGTTCAAATGGTATACGAATCGTAATGTGCTTTTTTCGTTTTATGTAGTGAAGTTTCTTAAAGTATAAAGTAACTGAAATAAAACGAGGCTTTATGAGAAACGATGCGAGAAGGAATCTGAACCAAATGTTATTTTATGAGTTACGAACAAACTGAACAAACTCGATGAATTTTGAAAGTGAAAAGAACACACAAACGCGAAATTTGTATGCACTCTTCCACAAGAATAGCAATTCCTAAGATTTTGTAGATAATCGAATAATTCATTTTTACCCTCAATTTTTAACATT